CATACCAAAAATCTAAATAAATATACAGGTAAACTGTCACTGCTCCGTGGAAAATCCCAAATAAGGAAATACAACTGATCAGAAACAAAAGAAGGGGAGGATACAGTTCATAAACACTCATTCACTCAGCAAATATTTCCTAAAAACACGCATTATAGGCAGGTACCACCAAACACTGGGATAGAGCAGCAAACAGGCTAGACACACACCCTGGCCTAACAGAGCTTGTGTTTCGGCCTTATGTGCCAAGACAGTAGGCTCACACTGTTGGTGACTGTTCCCTGTCTTCCACACCTTCCAGACTTGAGAACTGCTTGAAGGACATGGTTCAGGTCTCGTTCATTTCTGGATCCCCATTTTATATATTCAGCACCTGGGGCATGCACTGCATCTTCTCAGGATGTGTGTGCTGAACCAATGTGTTTACTTTACAGATGAAAAATATGAAAGAGAAGCTGAAGAATACAGATATCATACCCAATTTAAAAAGTGGCAGTGTTAAAATGCAAACCCAATATCTTGTCCCAGTTTTGGGACCTTTTTACTAACACGCACCGCCACAGTCTGTAATAAATTCCAGATTGTGCCTTGGAAAAAAAAAAAAGCCCACATACTGTCTTGTCCCACTTCCTACATGCAAAATAAAGTGGTGGGTTAAAGTCTGACCTCTCATTTCAGTTTGAATCTTACCCACTATGGGTTTTAACAGAATCTCAAGTGGTGTTTTTTCAAATTCTATGCATTTTACAAAGCATTATGCTGAAAACTTCTGCTATTGAGGGATACCTCAAGAGGAAGATACCATGAGTCGCAACCCATGACTATTTCATTCCCTGAGGATCACTTCCTCACAGGCAGGTCAGCCACGTCAGCGGAGCCCACTCAGACATCTCAGTCCCCACCACCTAAAGGCCTCTTTTCTGCATACCATTCCCCAAGAGCTGGCTGCCCAGAGACTTGACAACCTGGTACCGACTCCTCCCCCAGACACCCTCCCATTCCTCCAGCTTATCTCTGCTGTCAGAGAAGAATGCAGCCTCAGGCTTGTGCATTCCGGCTCCAGCACTTAGGGGAAGAACCCTCAGCAGAGCCTTTTGGCATTTGGAAAGCAGGGCCAGAGCCAGGACATCTGGCTGGAGAACCACCTGCCGCTTAGCGCAGCCGTCCTCAGCCCGTCCCAGGCTGCTACAACTGCGAACAGAGCTGGACAGACCCCCTGGGGGAGCACCACTTCTGTTTCTCGGGGACAACCCATATTAGGGGTATTGCTTTCTGGAGTTCTGGGGATAGGAGGGGGAGAGCCAGAGTCAGAACCCCTGGAGACTCTGCCCAATGACCTGATGCTCATCAAGTATGTTTACTTGGCCGTACCTACGGGAAAAGACCTACAGTGCTGATGCCAGGGCAGGAGAGACCTAATCAACTAAGCAAAAGAGCCTACAGCCCAGAATAGATTAATGAGAATCAGGTCACCTTTCCTTCCCACTAGATTACTAGGATTCACCTCTGTGACCTCAGACAGGCCAATTTTCCTCTTTAGGGACCAGTGTTCTCCCTCTAAAGTGGACAGGGAAGGGTGGAACCAGACAAGTTGTAAAGTCACTTTTAAGGAAGAATCTACAAGTTGGATTTTGATCTAAATTCAGAAAAGAAGTATGGCCAAGTATATAATTGATTGCTGGTGCTTTTTTTTTTTTCTCCCCCTGCAGGCGTTGGTTTTACTAACACTCTGACCTTGCGATCTTCTTCCATGAGATCATTCCCCTCCAAATCCATGAAAGTACTGGGAATCTGGGTTGGAAATTTCTCTGTGACTCATTTCTCTCCTTCCACTTCCACCCCAACCCCCCCCCCGTACCCCTTGTCCACCCCCACCTGAGCCTGTTCAATGCTGTGATGCTGGTGGGCCTGAGAATTCAATGTTTATGGTTTTGAGTCCTGCCCCATCCACTCTTGGGCACTGCAGAGGACATTGTAACTCGCTGCGTACTCTTCTCATTCATTTGTTGAACATTTCTCCCAAGGGATACTGAGAAAAACAATGTGGCCCAGTTCTTAGGAAGTTGAATCCAGGGACTCCTGGGTGGCTCCGCAGTTGAGCGTCTGCCTGCCTTTGGCTCAGGGCATGAACCTGGAGTCCCAGGATCGAGTCCCAAATCAGGCTCCCTGCATGGAGCCTGCTTCTCCGTCTGCCTGTGTCTCTGCCTCTGTGTGTGTATGTCTCTCATGGAGAAATAAATAAAATCTTTAAAAAAAAAAAAAAAGAAAAGAAGTTGAATCCATTCATTAAGGAGAAGCCTTGCCAATCCACCTGATGGCAGTTAGCCTGGGTCACCTGGGAGAGAACACCAAGGGCAGGCCTGCCTGGGCAAAATCTTGAAGGGTGCTATTGCTGATGCTATAGATGCCCCCTCCTATCAGCGTTGCTCGATGCATGCTCTGGACAGGCCAGGGGTGTCAGGGAGTTAAACCACAGGAGGAAACCTCAAGCCAATGAGAAGCAGAAGCTGGTGGGTAAAACTCTCAATTCCTCACCACTTCATCCTGAGGTGTGCTTCGCGGAGTCTCACGGGGTCCCAACGGGATCGAGTGACCTGCTCATTAACACAGCAGCGGTGCCTTCCCTCCCCTGTCTCACTTCCTAATCCCTCTCCATGCTCTTTAGGGTCACCTCCCAATTTGCTTATCTGTACCATGGGAATAACAGTACCTGAGGAGGACTCAATGAGATAATGCATACGGCATTAGGCTCTGACTATAGTAGATGCTTGGTTTAAAAAAGGTGGTAGTGGTGACAAGCTGAGTACACCCACTGGGGCAAAGCCAACCAGCCACCTGGGCAAGACCAGTAAGCAAACTCTGCCATGAAGTATCTACCATCAGACTCCCCAACTCAAAAGCCCAACTGGGAAGCCCACCAAGGGTGTGTCTGCTTGGACTGGGCATGACAAGCGCAAACCAGACAGCCAAGCTCAGACACTGGGTCATCCTGTCCAGGCCAGGCTGTCCAGGCCGCCTTTGGTGAGCTAGCCAGCAAGCAGTGAGGACAAGATATTGGCTCAGAAGGCCTGGGGCTCTGGGTAAGTACAGGGCAATGACTTCAGCGGGGTTCCTCAGCCTCCTTGCCCCACTGTTGTGCAGAAGAGCACCCAACATTGCTTCTTGGGATCCTCTTTTATTGGCTTCCATGGGGGGCCAACTTCCTCTTCAGGGTAGCTGTTTCAATAGATTTGACCCCTCTCATCTGGGGAGCCCTGCCCATACTCCCCAAACCTCTCCTGGCCTATAGAGTAGACCTGGCTGGTTTAACTCTGTGAGAAGGTTGGCAGGGAGGGGCTCTCGGGTCTGGGCCCTGGGTCCCCTGGATAGTGACTGCGTTGCCCCAGACAGGGTTGTACAGAACAGGCCTCTTCCTGCCGCCAGCTGGGGCAGATGAAGGAATGCTTCTAAGCAGCAAGGCCCCAGGCTGGCACTTAGGCTGATATTTTGAGGCTTTTGAGTAGAGAAGGCCTCAAAGGAGATCCCAGGGGACTTGCAATTATCCAATTAACACAACACACCAGTTCCGAGGCGTCCTGGAATTCCTCACGGCTGCTCAGATAAGGACTGACAGGAGGAAAGATCCATGAAGTTCTGGTCCTTGTCTGTATACACAATGCTGGGGATGATTAATCCCCAGCCTGGGGGCGGCAGTGGGAAGGGGATGGAGGTGGGGGATGCAGATCAAAGCCTCTCAGACAAGATGACTAGTCTTGGAACTCTGGGAGAGAAGGGCACTGTGAGCTGTAAACAAAGTGTATTTAACACCATCGCTGCTTTGGGGAGACCTGGGGCTCTTAGTAATGCGCATCCACCACCCCAGCCATGGGGCAGCAATGTTCTTTCTGCACTTCCGCCCCCTTTACTTATCTTCACAAGATAAACGGAGACAAATATCCACTCTGTCACCCCAGCGAAACCCATTCTTGGGGACTCCTGGATCTGGTTTTGTTGCACGATTTCTCTGCCTTTTAGTGCCTGCGGTTCTCGGTTCTCGCTTCAAAGAATGAAGAGGTGGACCAGAGGCAAGTGGCAGCAGCAAAGCAAAGTTTATCGAGCATGAGTATGAAGCTCCTGCCTGGAGAGGGAGGGAGGCCAGAGAGGGCTGACCCCGGAGTTTCTAAGTTCACCGAGTTTTGCAAGCTGTTTTCCAGAACTATCGTAAGCAATCCTGGGGTGCTGAGTCGTACCACTCAGGGCTTTGTTTACGTTATCTGTCTGCCTATTAGGTTAGTGTCTCTGTGCTGATGGTCATTTTTTGCTGACACCTGGGGGCTTAGGTCTTAACCACCCCACTCCCTGTGATAGGGACAAATGCCTTGTGCTTCATTGTCTTATTTCAGGATAGAAGTCCTTTCTGCAAAGGCTGCAAAAAAAGAATGTCAATCCGGTCCTGTCTAAACTGCAAAACAGGGTGTCAGTGCTGTTTTCTTTCAGCTGCCCTGACTTGGTATTTTCTTGTGGGGGACCCCGGCCCTAACTACCGAACTGTCCAACTAACTCCTAACAGTTTGAGCCTGGCCCTGCTTCCAGACTCTTCTGAGGACCCACTCTCCTGCCAGTTTTTCCTCTAAAGTCCTGCAAGCCTTCCTATGGACTGAGGTGCCTTCCTCCTTTGGAGAAAGGGGCTTCCTCCTCATACCAGCTCATCATTCAGCCTCCAACTATCCCAGGAAGTGGGAACCACCCAGCAGGAGGTTCAGATTCCTCGGAGGTGAGAGTGCTGCCTTTGCCTCACTGCACCCACTAGCCCTCAGACTTCTCTCTGGCCAGCCAACTCCCTCCCTTTGTCAGGCCTTGGAAAGGCAGTGCAGGAAAGAGGTAACAATGGTGGAGAGCAGGAAGGAGGTGCCAGGCCCAGCAAGGGGCAGGCCCAGGCCCAGCACCAGGGAGAAGGGAAAAAGGCAGTGAGAGCCTTGGCTAAGGACCACAAAGTCTTGGTGGGGAAGGAGGGGCTGCAGGCACTGGAGTAGCTCAGGCTCTCTCAGTAGGTGGGGCCAGGAGCAGGGGTACCTGGGAAACAGGCCTCCCTCTGGAATTCAGAGTTGCACGGCTGGCTGTCTAAGTCACCGACCTCTGGAATCCATAAGACAGGATAGAGGACTGTGAAGAGCATCCAGGGGTGCCATACTCCTGCAGGGCAGCTTAGGGTGAGTATGACATTCTCCCAGACCCATGGCCTCCTGGCCTCAGTTTCCAGGATCCTTCCCATCACCTTGACCCTCAGCTGGCAAGAGAGAAGCCTGGGTGGCTGCTCAGAAACCCGGTGGTCAGCAGAGACAGTGGGGTTGGGGAATACGACCCTGCAGAACTGGGGCCACATGGAGCAGTGACCTCAAGGCCAGGCCTGCTGGGAAGTAGCTTTGCCGCTCCTAAACCAGCCACCCCCCCCACCCCACCCCCACCCCCCGGGTTTGTAATCTACCCCTCTCCGGTCCCCCAGCTGCTCTAGAAACTCCACACCTAGGAACCTGCAGCCACCCCCCTAGGGCAAGGTTGACCTCAGGGGTCCTGGCTGTCGTTGGAACCAGCATGAGGCCAGGAAATGCTTGACTCTGGGTTCCCATGCCTCACAATTTTCTGGGGGCTCTCTTCTTCCCCAAAGGCAACCCTGAGTGCCCTCTCAAGAGGAAGTTCTGCCCTCTGAACTCATTTTAAAATACGACCTGCAAACCAGGTCAAATGCAAATGGGACTCACTTGTGGCCGAACCCTTCTAAGGGGAAAAACGGGGGCAAGTGAGTTTTGCTGGAATTGTCAAAGTCTTCTGAAAGTCCCATGCTTCTATTCCAGCAGAGCTTCTCCCGACTGCGGTCATTCACTGGCTCATTATTAATAGATGTTTCTGGAGCAGCATCTGGGCACCTGGGGAAAGTTTAGAGCAATAAGGGACACGGTCCCTTCGCTCCAGAAGCTCATGCCATGGGAACAAGGGAGGAGGTTCCTTGGAGGTTCAGGCAGGAGGGGACAGATGGAGGAGGCCTCCTGCAAGACGTCACCTGTGGATGCTAGCCCACAGCGAACGAGAGGGAAAGGCATCACTGGGAGCGCGAAGGGCAGGAGGTGCGGCGGGAGCGTCCCGGTCCTTCAGGGAACATCCGGGCCTGTGCGTCCCTCGGGGCCGGAGGGTAGAGGGGCATACCTGCCCCTCGTGGAGGGTTTCTGCGGGCTCACAAGGCTGCGGGGCTCTTCTCTCCCCAGCCGCTCACCAGCTCACCATGTGGTGGGCCCTGCTGCCGCTGCCGCTGCTGCTGCCCACCGCGCTGCGCCCCGGCTGGGCAGGGCCGCCCCAGGAGAGCGGCCCCCCTTTCCGGCTGACCCCGCAGGACCCCCGGGCCAGCGGGGCCGGCAACGCGACGGCCTCGCCCTGCGAGGGGCTGCCGGCCGCGGGAGCCTCGACCTTGAGCCTCGCGAACCGCAGCCTGGAGCGCCTGCCCGGCTGCCTGCCGCCCGCGCTGCGCGGCCTGGACGGCAGCCGCAACCTGCTGCGCGCCCTGAGCGCCGCCGAGCTCGGCCACCTGCCGCGCCTGCGGGTGCTCACGCTGAGCCACAACCGCATCGCCGCGCTGCGCTGGGGCCCCGGCGGCCCGGCGGCGCTGCACACGCTGGACCTCAGCTACAACCGGCTGGCCGCGCTGCCGCCGTGCGCCGGGCCCGCGCTGCCCGGGCTCCGCTCGCTGGGGCTGGCCGGGAACCCGCTGCGCGCGCTGCAGCCGCGGGCCTTCGCCTGCCTCCCCGCGCTGCGCCTCCTCAACCTGTCGTGCACGGCGCTGGGCCGCGACCCCGGGGCGGGCATCGCCGACGGGGCCTTCGCGGGAGCGGGCGGCGCGCTCGAGGTCCTGGACCTCAGCGGCACGTTCCTGGAGCGCGGTGAGTTCGCAGCCGGGCTGGGAGGGCGCCCCCGGCGGGCGGCGGGCGGGGGCTGGGGGGTGCGGGGGGGGAACCTCCCTAGAGGGTGGCGACCGGGCTCCTCGCTCGCGCTGCGGCTCGAAAATAACCCCACCTCGATTTCTGGAGCCCAGCGGGCCTTGTTCGAAGGTGGGGACTGTGATTCCTCGCCGCCGCTTTGCAGAGGAGGGGACCGAGGCACGGAACGACGAGTGCCCGGCCCGCGGTCTCGCAGCTCCAGATCCGAACCGGGCATCCGGGGTCCAGAGCCCAGCCTGAGCCACTCTGTTGCTCTGCTACTACCCAGCAGAGCGGGCCAGTGCTGGCAGGACGGGGGAGTGGAGGAGGGCTCTGGGGCCGATTAACGAATGAATCTGCCACCAAGCATGCAGTTAACCTGAAGCAACAGGTGCCCTGAGGATGAATTCATGGATTTTTCTACTTTGGCCCAAATTGTTTCTGTGAACGTTGAGTCTTCAAATAAGACACAGGAGGGAAGTGAGTACCACTCCCCCTGTACTTGGCATGTTTTGACTGATTCACGAGGTTGGTTTTTACTTTTTTAAAAAACACTTCGCATGCCTGTAATCACCTGTTCCACTACAGACAGAGGGAGGAGCGGGAATGGGGAACAGGGGAAGTGGTACATCCTCCATTTGTTAGGGGAGCCACAAAATTGGGTTTCTGGGCCTCATCCAGCCTTGCTCCTCCTCTCCTCCTTCCTTACCTCTCTCAAGAATGTCACCACTTTCAGTAGCCATTAGAGTGAAGCCTGGGGCATTTCACTGTGGAGTTCAACAAGAGGATGAGGCAGGAGAAGCCTTGGAGACCCTATCCTGGGTTCAAGTCCTCGCTCCATCCTTTCCCAGCTGTGTGGCCCTGGGCCTGTCATTCTCCTCTCTGACTTTGGCTGCCTCCGGGGCTGGAAGGAAGGACAGACTGGTCACCTCTGAGGGCTCTTCCAGCTGAAGTGGTCCATGCTCCTGAGCTTCCCAAAGCTGCTAACTGTGCCCATACTCAGCAATGGCCTTTACAACTCACCCTGTCCCTTTCATTGTTTCTGTAATGCTGTGTCAGCCTCTCGGGGGTGTGCCCTCCTGGGTAGTGGGCAGTTTCCCCTCTGTATTTCAGTGCAGTCAGGGTGGATCAAAGACCTGCAGAACCTCACATCTCTCTACCTGAGGAAGATGCCCAGGCTGAGAATCCTGGAGGGGGACATTTTCAAGATGAACCCAAACCTGCAGCAGTTGGATTGCCAAGACTCCTCAGCACTTAGTTCTGTCCACACGCACATCTTCCAAGACACTCCTTGCCTACAGGTCCTTCTACTCCAGAAGTAAGTGTTTCTAAGACACATGTGAATCACATAACTGATTTCTGGCCATTGCACCAAGCTGAATGCGTGTAAGCATTGTATAGCACTAACCAGACCTTAATTCCTCTCCCTCTGCTCCTTCGCATCCTCTCTGGATTTCTAATGCTTCCTCGTGCTTTGGGTGATATTTTGGTCGGGTACCAGATAGCACATTGGCCTAATAACTGTGCAACAAACTCTCATGCATGTAAAGTTTCCTTTAAGCCCAGGCTGAGAAACTTGCTGGGGGAAGAGGGGATGAGGCATCAGGTTCTTCTCTATTTCTGGATCTACTTGCCTCCCCGCCCCCCTCACCTCCCCTCTGCCACCCCAGGTATTTATGCAATTCAGCCCTTCCAAGGTTTGAATGCGTCTAGGGAGGAAAGGTGAGGGAGTAGAAGGGTCCTACTTGCAGCTGGGACCCAGGATCAGTCCTTTCAGGCCTGGTTGTCCAGAGTGTCACTGTATTTACCTTCCTTATCAAGAGCAGCTACTGTCCTGACTTCAACAGAAGAAGCAGAATCCCTTTGCAGATGACCCCAAGCCACCTCCTTTCATGAGAGCCCGTATCTGGGCCCTGGGAAGCACCTCTGCCTCCATCATCACTTTCAGTGTAGCCACTTCCTTCTTTTCTCTGCTAGCTCCAGCCACAACCAGAATATTCACTTTAAGGTTTGTCATGAGAGAAAAGGAAACCGAACATGCAGAGCACTTAGCTCAGTGTCTGGCACATGGTGCGTGCTCTACCATTCGTGAAGATGATATGGTGGCTGTGAAGAAGGTGATGGGAATAATGGCAGCGACAGTGATGGTGGTAATGGTGTTGACGTTGGTAGTCATGGTGAATTGGTGATAGTGATGGTAATCGTGATGATGATGATGGTGGTGGTGGTGGTGATGTTGGTGAGAGTGATATCCTCTCTGGCTCGGACTCCTCTTCTGAGCTTCAGACTTGTGGATAAGGTATCAGATGAGGAGCCACAGCTCAAATCCTGACTCCATCCACTTTCACAGTCTCTGCAGACCCCAGGTTAAGAACACTTGCAACCCTGTCACCACATTGAGGCAAGAGGTCGGTCTAAATCATAATTTGATTGAGCCTCCTGCCAAGTGAAAACCTTGCAGTGCTTCCCATAGCCTGAAGGAGAAGGTTGAACCCCTTCTGGCTCATCCTAGGCCCCTCTCCTCCCAACTCTACCACCTGTGCTCCAGCGTGGGGGAAGGTGCCACTTGCTTTCTTGTGCTCTCAAGCCTCTCCATCTGCCCTGCTGGGCCCTCTCTCCCTCTTCTCAGCCTGGCCTACTCTTGGCTCTCCTTAGCCCACCCGCCCCCTCCCCGGGGAGGCTGTTCTAAACACCCAGTCATGTTTGGCTGCCCTAGCATAGCTAGCACCCACTGGTGAGGGGATGGCCACCTCCCTGGCTGCTCTGCCAACCCAGTGTGCCCAAAGCCCTCCAACAGTCCCCTCTGACATGCAGGAGGGAGGGGCAGTATTTCAGCAAAGAAGTGAAAAGAGGTTATTTGGGAGAGCAAATAAAACTTCTTTCACACTAGGTCTTTGTAGTTCAAATGGAGAGACATGCAACACACACCAGGATGTGAGCCAGGCCCTCCTGTAGCCCCAAGTAGGTGGTGATTCAACTTGATTTTATCACATGCAAGTTGCACAGGTGGCAGAAAGGGCCACCAGATAAGGAAAGGACTCATTTTCCTTACCTGAAAAATGAGCAGAATATTATGTCACTATATTGTCAGAATGATGTCAACGAGATGATGAATGTAAAGTACTGGGCAATGTTACCTGTTCAAAAATATGACGATCCTTTCCCTCTCCCCCTTCAGGCAAAAAGAAAAATATTTCCCTGGCATGCTGAAGTACTAAGTAAACTCTCATCCTAAGATTCCACTCTAGCTCTGTGAAATCTGCTGAAAGCAAGCATGCATATATGTATACACTCATATATGTGCATTAAGAATCAATATAAATAGCACACACATATATCTGGTGTTCCAGAGGGGACAAGTGTCAGGTCTCCATCACCCTGGAGTGTTAGAGCAGATCTGAGGAGTCGGTCCTTCCTCACCTAGCACATGAGCTTCTCCCACAGAGTAGTTGAGGAAGGCAGAAGGTTCCCAGGCAGGTGGAGAAAGCCAGCCTTTAGTCAGAAGAAACCTGAAAGTCAAGTACAGCACCTGTAGCTCAAGATGAATTATAAGTATGTGTAAAAGAAGCCAGGAGACTCAAGGAATTGAGAAAGTTCAGGCCAAATGCTCTGTAAGACTCTAGGGAAGAAAGAACCGAGGATTGAGAGGGGCCCTGTCATTGCTGAGTGTGCTAGACCCGTTGCAAAATGGCCCCAGGAATTCCTCCCATCCTTGCGGACACACCCTTTGCAATGTGACTGCAGCTCCTCCCATCAAGAACTAGAGTCTTTTCTCCACCTCTGGAACCTGGACGTGGCAATGTGACTTGCTTAGGCTAGTGAGACATTAACGAAAGTGACATAAGCAAAGACTTGAAAGTGGTTGAGCACTGGAGCTTTCCCTTCCTGGCTGGTGGGGACCCCCACCACACCACCACCACCATGTACACTAGCCTGGGCTAGCCTCCTGAATGATGAGGAGTACATGGAAGGGGGCCCCAGCAAACCTAGCTGAGGCTCCATAGACATGAGCCCAGCCTAATCTTCCAGCCCCAGCTGACCTGACCCAGACCACAAGAACCACAGACTCCTGGGAACCCTGGGTGGCGCAGCGGTTTAGCGCCTGCCTTTGGCCCAGGGCGCGATCCTGGAGACCCGGGATCGAATCCCACATCGGGCTCCCGGTGCATGGAGCCTGCTTCTCCCTCTACCTGTGTCTCTGCCTCTCTCTCTCTCTCTCTCTCTGTGACTATCATAAATAAATAAAAATTAAAAAAAAAAGAAACCACAGACTCCTAAGAACAAACGTTTGTTATTTTAAACTACTAAGTTTTGGGGAAATTTCTACTCAGCCAGAGCTTAACTGATACACTTCAGTGAGGCATCTTCCACCAAAGGACTGGTGCTAAGTGCCATCAGCACTCAGTTCAACTGCCATAGTATATATTCAAGAGTGTTCTCATTAATAAACAACTTCTTCCATCTCTTGTGACTGGTCTATACTAACAATATCTCACTTTTATGTAGAGATTTACACTTTTAAGCAGTTTCATTATCACAGACTCTTTCTGATGTAACAAACGGGCAGGGGAGTATTGTCTCCATTTGATAGGCGGGGTGATAGTGACTGAGTTGGGCTGGTATCTTGACAGATGATAAAAAATTTGAAGTCTAAGGTCTTTAAAGAGTTTTGTCCAAAGTGGTGTCATCTAACCCCTAACAGAATGGTTTTGCAGTGAAACCACCATGGCTCTATGGGAGTAGTTCTGACTTGATTTTTAAGGCCTGACTTAATTAATTTTTGTGTTTCAGCTGCAACTTGAGTTCCTTCCCTCCTTGGAACCTGCATTCCTCCCAGGTCCTATCCATCAGCCTCTTTGGCAACCCCCTCATTTGCAGCTGTGAGTTGTCCTGGCTCCTCAGGGATGCAAAGAGGACCATCCTTAGCAGGTAATACATTTACAAAGCAGATGACTAAGAGGCGAGCTGAGTTCTCACAGCTTATGTCTTTGTATGGTGGGCAGGGTGGCCATCCCCCATGTAGTCATACTCAGGGCCCCCCAGTGAGGGAGGGTCTTCATTCCAGCCAGCCAGAGTGGCACAGAGCATGGAGGAAGGGACAGACATGGCAGTTTCAAAGGGGCAAAGCCAGGAGGTGGGGCTCATCACTTCCACTCTCACCTCAGTGGCTCGATGACAGTCAGCAGGCCACATCCACTACAAGGGAGGCTGGGAAAGATAGTCTAGTTTTGTGCCCAGCAGGGGGAAAAAAATGGGCTAAGTGAACAGCTATATCCTCTCTGCCAAGATAGTTTTATCTTTGTTCTATTTTATGGACAAGTGGGTTGGGGCCCCAAGGGGGAGGTGCTTGCTTAGGGTCAAGCAGCTGTTGGATGAAGGAGGCAGGACGTGTCTTCCTTCAAAACTGTGCTCTTAACCACTGGGCCCCCCTAGTGAGTTCCCCAAGATGCAGCTGGTCTCCTGCATCATTCAGTCTAAGGCCAATGGGCTTACAGAGCTCTTGTGGACCAGGGGGAAAAGAAGTCCTTCAAAGACTTCCCACTGGGTGTTGGCCAGATGAGCTGTTTTTGCAGTGGGGAGCCACGCCCAGACTGGCCTCCAGGAGAGAATGGGGGCGGCTAGGGACACCTCCGGTGGCGAGAACCCTCACACCAGCTCCACAAGCAAACCTCTCCTCCTTGCAGCTCACTTCAGGAGACCCTTCCCCGCCTCATGTGTGGCTGTTTTTTCACGTCCCACCCAAACCCAGCTGTGAAGTGGGGCTCCCATCCCCTTCATGTTACCTCCAAAGGACCCAGATCCTTGGCGGTGAAGGGTCTCACTCTAGTTTTAATGAAGAGGTTGAGAGCGCTGCCTCTTCACGCCACTTACCACTGTTGATTTCGGCTGTATCGCTTGACCACTCTGTGCCTCTACTTCCCCATCTGTAAAATGGGATAATGGTGGCTACTTCATAGGGTCATACGGATTAAATCAGCTCATACGATAAAAGTGCTACCAGTAGTCACTGGCATTTGGCAAGCGCTCAGAAAATGCTAGCTAGCACTGAGTACTATTACTAGTAGTCAGCCAGGAAGCAGATGGTCGGCTACCCAACGGCAGACTGCCTTGGAGAATGGGAACCGCCGTTCCCGGCCTGCCCTGGCTTTGGTTCTGCCGGTGGCTGTCTTGGGCGGCTAGTTCCTCTTGCTGAGCTTCTCTGCCCAACGGGGATGATGAGGGAAGCCTCCCTCCTCCACAGGTTGCCCCTAGGGTCGGCCGAGGGTAGCCCAGCACACCAGGAGCCCCGCCCCCCAGTACCCTCTAACCTGCTGGCGTCCCCTCCAGGGCAGCAGACACGGCGTGCGTACCAGCCTCGGGATCCCAAGGCGCCGCCGCGGCCCCCCTTCCGCTGTCCCGCCTGCCCGCCGCCTGCCCCTGGGCCCGAAGCACCGCCGTCCCCGATGCCACGTGGCCCTCTGAGCCCTTCGCCCACGCGCCACCGACCCCGGGCGCCGCCGCCCCACCGAGCAGCGCCCCCGAGGCTCCGCCCGCCAGCCGGCCCCCGGGGCTGCCCCCCGCCGCCCGCCGCCCGCGGGCCTCCCCTCGCGCTCCCCACCCGAGTCCTTCCGAGGGCGCCATCCCAGTCTTGCTGCTGGGCGACTCCAGCGAGGAGGAGGAGGAGGGCGCGGGCGCGGGCGCGGGGGCGGGGGCGGCGGCGGGGCAGGCGGGCGGCGGGCAGGGGCAGCAGGGGCAGCAGGGCCCGGCGGGGGCGCCTCCGCGGGACGTGCCCTGCGACTACCACCCCTGCAGGCACCTGCAGACCCCGTGCGCCGAGCTGCAGCGGCGCTGGCGGTGCCGGTGCCCCGGCCTCAGCGGCGAGGACACGGCCCCGGACCCGCCCCGGCTGCAGGCGGTCACCGAGATCGGCGACACGTGGGCGCTCGTCCGCTGGTGCGCCCCCAACTCGGCGGTGCGCGGCTACCAGATCCGCTACTCGCCCGAGGGCGGCGCGGGGAACCGGTCGCTGTCGGTGCTGGCCGGCGTGTGCGCCACCGCGCGGCAGCACGCCCTGCACGGGCTCTCGCCGGCCACCGCGTACCGCGTGTGCGTCCTGGCCGCCAACCCCGCGGGCCTGAGCCGGCCGCGGGCCTGCGCCGCCTTCGCCACCAAGCCCAGCTTCGCGCTCGTCCTCGCGGGGCTGTGCGCCGCCTGCGGCCTGCTGCTCGTCGCCGGGCTGCTGCTCGCGCTGTGTGTGTGCCGCCGGCGCCGCCCGCCCCGCCCGCCCCGCCCGCCGCGCCGCGACACGCGCCTGGTGGCCTACAGAAACCCGGCCTTTGAGCCCCCGCTCAGGCCCCGGAGCCCCTCGTAGCCCCGCCCCCGCGCCCGGCCCCGGCCCGCCCCGCCCGCCTCGGGCCGAGCAGCGGCCGCCGGTGCGCCGGGGCTGCGGCCGGCCGAGGCCCGCCGGCCCGGAACGCCGCGTCGCCGCAAGCCCGCGCCCCGGGGCGCACGCGAGCTGGCCGCGCGCGGGCTCGGGCGAGGAACCACGGGCTCCCCTGCCCTCCGCTCCGCCGGAGACCTTGGAGTTCACGCGCCCCCGCGGCCACGCCCCCACCCCCCCACCCCCCACCCCCCCGCCCCGAGTTGGCGACCACAGACTCGGTGTGAAAGTAGGAGGAGACGGAACGGTTCATGCAATTCAGCCCCCTTGGCCAAATCGAGGTGACATTCTCAAGTCATTGCAGGGAAGTGCGGGCCCGGTCAAGCCTCAGCTAAGGCAGAGGTTACTCAAGGAATATCCATCCACTCCGGTGGATTCTTAATCCGAGCACTGGGGAGAAGGGAGAACTACTGGTTATGGTTCCCGACGCCATCCGCGTTTATTGGCGAAAAAATGCGCTTCTAGCTTTGCTATCGAAACTGCAGCCTTCGGGGAGCATCTGAGAAACGCCAGGATAAGCTGTCCTTTTTAAAGTCACTTTACTGTACTTCTCCACAGTCTAAGTGGTCAAAGAAACTATGAACTCCTTTTCTTAACAAAGCATAATAAGGTGACTTTCAGGAACTTTTTTTTTTCTTTTTAAGAGAAGAAATGAACAAAAAAGAACCTCAAGGCTCTAGCTAGAGGCCAAAGCATTTTGCTCTCAGTTGCATCAGACAGTGCCTTCATGATTTGTATCCGAGTATGGATTATGTCTTACTACATCCTCTTTTCACTTGTATACCGACTTTAAAAAAGTGATTTTATAAAAATTATGTGGCTCCAGATTTTGTTTTCTACATTAGTATTTATTTTACTTTTCTGTCACTATTATAACAATTATCACAAACTGGGTGGCTTAAAACAACAGAAATCTATTTTTACAGTTCAGGCAAGAAAACCACAACCGAGGGTATCCATAGGACTGGTTTCTTCTGGAGAATCTGGAGAATTATTCCGTATCAGTCCTGGTTGCTGGCAATCCTTGGTGTTCCCTGGGTTGCAGATAAATCCATTCTATGCCATCGTTGTCTTATGGCATTCTCTGTGTCCAAATTTCCCTCTTTAAAAATTATTTTGCCCTCCATCTTTACAGAGATATAATTGACATATAACTTTGTGTACATTTATGGTATACAGTGTAAGGACTTGATACCCCTATATATTGGGAAATGATTACAAAATACTTAGTCAACACATCCTTCAACTCATATGGTTACTTTGATGTGTGCTAAGAACTCAAGATCTACTTTATAAGCAACTTTCAAGTATACATTAACTATAATCATCATGCTGTCTGTCTTCTGAGGATCATTAAATCTCCCGAACCTACTCATCTTGTAACTGAAAGTTTATACCCTTTGATCACATTCATCGTCTTCCACCAGTATGAACCACCAATCTACTGCTGTTTCTAGGAGTTGGGTTTTGGTTTGTTTGTTAGTTTTTTAGATTCTATACATAAGTGGAATCAAACAATTTGTCCTTTTCTGCCTTATCTCACTTGATATAATGCCCTCAAGTTCCATCCCTATCATTACACATGGCAGGATTTCCATTTTAAGGTTGAGTAACATTCAGCCATAAATTTTATAAACACACACACACGTTTTATCCACTCATCCATTGACACTTGGGTTATTTCCATGTCTTTGCTATTATAAAAAATGCTGTAGTGAACATAAGGGTGCAGATCTCCTCTTCAAGATGATTTCATTTTCTTCCAGTATATACCCAAAGTCAAACTTCCCTCATCTTATGAGGACACACTAGGCATTGGATTAAGGCCCACCCAAATCCAATAGGACTTTATCATACAGGGTTACTTCTGAAAAGATTCCATTTCTAATAAGGTCACATTCACAGGTACCAGGGCTTAGAACCTGAACATATCTTTTGGGGAGACACAATTCAACCCAACCAGCATTTATTTGTTAAAAAAAAAAAAATCAAGTTTGATTCTCACATATCTTGCTTCCAAAATGTGCTGTAGCACAAAAAAAACATGCTGCAGAAATCCAGTATATCCAGGTTTGACCTGAATAGGTATTTGAAGTTTTGAAAAGGCTTTCTAAAATTCTAAGGTGATTCCAAGTTTCATCACATATGTAACCCATGAGAACTGGATTAAGCAATCTTTTAAGATACCTACCAGCTCCTGATTAAAAATTGGAAAGCAAAAGCCAAAAATGTGACTAGCGTAGACTCCAGACATGTAATCCTCTCAATGCCTTTTTTAGCTATCAGGACTGAATCCTATTTTATAAAGGAGACACCAAAATGAAATTTGTTGTGCTTGACTCTGTATGCATGAATATATACTCAAAGATGCCTAATAGAATTCCAGTGTTTTGCAAACTAGCACAATTTTCATGTTTTACAACTGTCCAATATCCAAAACCCTCAAGAAACTTGTCCCATTTTTCTAAGGGTTGAGGTTTATCAACCAGAGCCAGATGAAGACCTTCATATTAAAGAGACTCTGGGTCCAACACATAAGTAACTCCAAACAGCATCAACACTAAACCATGAAATAAACATATGAAGTGCAAAATCCTAATTTTTCCCATAATCACTCTATCTCGAGTTCTCTCATTTTAAAACATTTTTGTGCTCCCACTTTGCTAGTGCCAAGACATGTTCAATGTGTCTCTTGGGTGGGAACTCCACCTCCAGCCTTACTCCCTCCCAAGTTATGACACTACACAGGAGGTTCCAGAAAGGGAGACTGGCCAGCTGCTAGAGGCCATCCTTTTCTTCCCTCACACCACCCTCCGTCTGATTCAGTGACAGTGTCCCTGGCTGCAAGCTTCAGTATGTTTCAAGCCAAGGGCAACTCAGCTGCCAGCCTGGGAACAAGGAAGTCAAGACCGAATGCAACAAAGGAGCATACTGATCCAAGGATGCCATTGCCAAGAAGCATGCATTTTGCTTCTTATAACTCCCGTCTTAATTTAACACAGCTCAACGAGCTGTGTCTGGATAATCTCATTGCATCATTCCATATTACACTTATGTCTTACTACATCCTCTTTTCACTTGTATACCAACAGTTGGCAGCAGCTGGCCTCCATTGCTAAGAGGAAGCAACCAGCAACAGCCATTGTCTTTCCTCTTCCCTCTCTCTGCATCTCCCACTCTTTCAAATATTGAAGTGTAGTCAGTCAGGACTTTGTCAGATGGTCCCAAACAAATTATTTTTACAATGTAATTGCAAGTGATGTATCTGAATGGACTTTATGAATCAGAAAACTTAACACAACAGCAAGCACCACAGCATGCTATACAGAACACCACCACTGAAGGTACTTTTCCAGCTCTTTTATTCCTTTAATATCTTAACAAAAAGATACCCCAAAAATTTAAAAACCTTTGAAAAATATACAGTTTCATATTATTTACATGGGAGTACAGGCTCCAATATCATACAAACATTGCTATGTTAGAAACAGTGGAAGATATAATATAATTCACTGCTTCCTGGATGGTGTAGGCTAATGGACATGGTTTTGTACTTCTACCACCTTGGTCGCTTGCTATCCTAGTACATAAACTATTAGGCACCTGAGAGTTTGGAAGACTACTGAACATGAACTTCAATACCTTCTGTTGTGATCTTAATTATTATTTTCAAAACTTACTGCATTTTCAATCTCTTTACAAGTTTACTTCATCCATAGCTAAGTTACCTTGTCATTATCCTAACTGATCAAATATTAACCAAATGAACTATTAATGTGTACACAGTCTAAATATCAAACATAAGATTATGTAGCCAAGTTGTGTAAGATAGATACTTAAACCCAAGAAATTCCCTAGTGCTTTGTAAGCAATCTAAACTCTGTTAAACAGAAGTGGCAACTCCAGTTTCCATGCTCTAGACTATGTTTTTAAAAAATGTATTAAAAAGTGACTGATGATGATTGGAATAACTGGTACCTTATAAATTAATCAAGAAACCTAAGATAAAAAAACCTCTAAATTATAGTTTTATTTGTATTTAAAAATACATTGGAAATTCTGCATATGCCCATGATCAAGCTTATTTTCAATGCACATTACTTAAATTTTGATGACATGGTTTGTTCTGACAAGTCCTTTTCCAAGCTGAACACCGAAATACGGAAACTCCTGTAGATTTCCACTTGCCCTGCCACCAATGATGTATATTGCTTCCTTGCTAATGATGATAGATGGCTTTCATCTCCCTTTTATCACCTGAACAGTTTTTCGACCATAATGATAGTAACTGTAAGCTGATGCAGCTGTGGTGAAAGCTGTGAAACACCTTTTATGGAAGAGAACAAAAATTTAGTTGTCAGGTCAAAAACACAGTAACCATGAGAATCACAAAAAATACATTTAGTAAGAACTATTTAATAAGCAACAACACTACGGGCGTAATTCTTTTAGCTATAGGAAGCTAAAGCTACTGCTTTTAAGATTTCATGTGAATTAGTAATGTCAAACAGAATCTAGTTAATGAGCCTGAAAAAGGTAATCCTAGCAATTGTCATTTTTACCCAGCCGTTATTCTAGGTGTCTTATGCCATCATCTTATTTTCACAACAACCTTCTCTTACCGAGCAGCACATGGAGCCCCAGAGAACTTTGCTATGGGCCACAGAATCTTGTCTGAGCCTGGCATGGTTCCAACTCTAGAGCCCATGTGCTTTTTCCACTGCCCTATGCTGCTTAAGGTATTGGGCTTTTATTTCCTGCAAAATTCGAATATCTGAGTCATCTTAAATAAAATCCAGTTTTTTGTTTGTTTTAATGATTTTCCCTTAAGTGAACTGCCAATTAACCAGATTCCCTGAGAAGTTCCATGGGTGATGTTCATCGCTTGCTGAGTACTCGTGGCCTAGGGGCTTACTTTCTATAGTGCACCCATGTCTGCTTCCACCAGCTGAGTGGGATGTCCCGGAGACTATTTTCGTTTGTTACCAAAGCTGTTTGTGCCAGTTTGATCATCTAAATCCACCTGAACCAATGAAACATACATGTAGAGAGAGTTGCTATTTCTGAGAACTATGTAAGATATTTTGCAAATACTTTATAACAAGGTAAATTGCTAAAAAACTACTGTCAACATAGGCAATGATTGTTGAAAGGTTGGAAAAATGGTAAAAATATAGAAAGTTTCTAGGCTTAGATTGCTTTACAAATGTCTTAAATTCTTATATCACTTTTAAGAAGGAGAAAACAAACATCAGAGAGGTTGTACTATGGATATAGTTTAGTCAAGAATGAGAACACTCCCACAGACAGACCAATACTTAAAGAAAAGGCATTAATCCTCTATCAAAAGATGTAGGATGAATCAGAAAAAATGTACACATGTATTTTAGAAAATAAAATGTTTAGCATGTATATCATCTTTAAAGCTTCTTTAGCTTAACTGACTTTGGTTAACTAACCATTTTCTGGCCCAGACTGCATCAAGCAAGGTTTTAGTTAAAGTATACTAAAACATAGTGCTTTGGTTTCAACGGGGCACATCTGGACTCCAAAAGTTTAAATTTGACACGATTTCAAGGTGATATATTTCAAAGCTGTAACTAAGGATAATAAAATAAAAATAGGGATCCCTGGGTGGCGCAGCGGCTTGGCGCCTGCCTTTGGCCCAGGGCGCGATCCTGGAGACCCGGGATCGAATCCCACATCGGGCTCCCGGTGCATGGAGCCTGCTTCTCCCTCTGCCTGTGTCTCTGCCTCTCTCTCTCTCTCTGTGACTATCGTAAATAAATAAATAAATAAAAATAAATAAAAATAAAAAGACTTAAAAAAAAAAAATAAAAAAAAAATAAAATAAAAATAAAACTACTTTCTCCAAGTTTCCCTCCCAACATGCCCCTCTGCCACTATGCTGGATGCACTTTCCCCTAACCTACTCTCCTACACCGGACTTTACTCAGGGCCAATCTTCACGTCAGTGGCCTACCCCAGTTTCTCCCTGTATATATACCCCAAATGGCACTTCTTCCTGAAACTTTCCCTTTTCTCCCTACCTGGATACAAGTATCCTCCCTCCCCCCAAACCCCAATACTTTATCCATACCTCTCATCACTTTTAATTTGCATGAAAGCTTCTGTAATTTCTATATCCCATGCTTGATAGTAAACTTCAGAAAAGTATCAATCATAAAATATACCCCCCAGCTTTATTTACCCAGTTAGTGCTCAATAAACACGGTAAGAACCAAGTTAATTCTACAATTGTCAAAGTAAGACATTTTGTTGACATTCTCAGAGAGTAATTCTACATTTAACTTACCAGAGTATCTGAAGATAAATGCTATCAGCATAATTGAAAACTGGAGCTGCCAAAGAAGCTGCTACCAAGATTAACTGGACTGCTGTGTTTACCTAAAAAAAAAAGTCATAAATGAGCGGTACCAAGGAGATCCTGTTGCAAGCTCAAGAGACAAGGGCACAGACCACAATGCTGTAACATGACATACCCTCAGCGTGCTTGGTGTTGTACTATCCTTGCTAAAGACGCTGGCATTCACACCAAAATGTGAACTTCACTAACCGACTCATCTGTCTACACAGGTGCCCTTTACAGTGAGGATAGGGGCATCTGTCAGAAAAAAACTACTACCTTGAATTTCCATAGCAATTCAATAATGTTGCAAAGTTCTTTGCCTTTTTCAGTTTTCTGTTAAAAGAGCCCTGTGAACATTGCAATAATAAAGTTACTGCTTCACAGATGAAAATGTAACGAGTTAAGTGACTTGCTTGTAGTTATAGCAGGCTATAGGACCTAACCCAGAACCTAGATACCCAGCGCTTCATCTAGTGCTCCTTCACTTGCCTAAAGGTCAAACACTAGGGTATCAGTAATTTGAAATGCATCTATCTCTATGAGAGAGGCTCTGGAGGAAATGAGCATGTTTCCATACCCTACAAGCCACAGAGGAGAAAAGGAAGAAAACAGAACCAAAAATGCACTGGAGACTGCCTACTCATCCTGAGAAGCATGCTGGGGAAGAGTGTGATAAGTATGAAGCAGTGGGAAATGTGCACAGAAGCACCTCTATCGTCCATTCTGCAACTAAAGACAAGGATTCCACTTCATCTTAAAAAATTAAATAATAAAACTGGAGAACTTCTTGCCCTTTTTGAGTCATTTTCTAAGCAGTGCTACACTCAAACTGCTGTACTTGATACAAATATAAGTCACTTGAACCTCAAAAAAACAAACAAAGCCATAAACGTAGGTAAAAGTCGACCCCAGGAAGTTTTAGGTATAATACTAATTAATAAGCCTTCTGTCTCAAAGATGATCTGGGTCCCTAACCTGTTAAACTTCTGTCACAAAGGATAGGGCAAAAGGATGATTAGAATGAACTTACCAAGGCTACTAGGAAAATAAACATGCCTTAAGGCATTAACTGTGTGTTCTCTGTATGCAAAGAGTGGCACAGGTGCTGTCCTGAAAAGGGCTCAGGAAGACTCTATGGAAAACTAAGAGTAGCAGCTGCTTATTAGTAAGTAAAACTTTTTCCTATCCTTTCCATGTAATAATTGATTGTGAAAATGAAGAGCCTGATTTTATGGTGTTTACACCACAGAAAGGAGGGTAATGATACTACAAAGGAGCCTCCATAATTTCTTTGTATCTCAATCAAGATGAGATTATAATTCCACTCCCTCCCCTTCCCTAAACAGTGACCCTAAGACCTCATGCAGAGACTTAACTATTCAGACCATCAAAGGCAAAACATAATGCATAGCTTAAAGACCCCAAAAGCTCAAAGGACAAAAGAACTGGGTTAATGACCTCACTATCTCCTACAGTCTCAGTGCATGAAATAGGTCTCATTTTCAGCTGCTCCAGACTAAGGTTTATATTCATTATAATAAACATTTACAAGGCAGTAACTTAAAAGCATGTGTGTGTCTCTTACCTTGCTGATGAAGGTTGGTTTTAACCTAGCAGTGGCATAGCAAGGATTGAAATACTTAGAAAGTGTTCGCTGGCAGAGGACAAAAAGATAAAGTTTATTCAATTTATTATTCAAGTTTAAAACAAACATTTTGTTATTATATGTAATAAACAGTGACTGAGTATTCACTGTATGCCTGGCTCTATGCTAGACAAGCCCTTTATCTGCACCTTCTTTTAATACCCTAAATGAACAGTGTCTATATTCTTTTCAAATCATACACAGGTTACTGAAAACAGATTTTTTTAATTTATAGGTAACTCAATCCCTAGAAAAATCTAACACAGTAACTATCCTGAAGTGACCACATCCATTTTCTAAATAAACTCAATAAATCTCCCTTGTTATTTTCTTCCAAAGATGAAAAAATGAATCAAATCCTGCTATTTTCACTGGACTGAGAAACTAAAGATGAGGTTATTATGCTATGCCTAAGTGCTCAAGTATCTGTAGAGAAATGAACTAATATGCAAACAAACCATTATGTGCTCATACAACTTTGATTTTAAAAACTAGTTCCAGACAGTCCACAGTAGAAGCTAAACCAGGCAGCAAAAGAGGCTTGGTTACATAACCACTCCTAACAGTTTGCTACTATGGACAGGGCAAGTTGGTCTGGGTTTTATGTGCTGTCAATTAAAAAGGTTTTGACTCATAAACATGCCTTTTCAAAACTGATCATTTATGTGTTCACTGAACAACTACCATTGTGGGTGATTTAAATAGCAAGATGAGAGTTATGTATGGTTTTTAAAAATTCTTGGAAAAAGGATAAAAAATAATGGCCATAAATCAGTCTCATAAAGTTAAACTCAAGATACAACAGAGTGGGTTTTTCTTTTAACATTGTTATAAGTAATAATAAAAGAATTTTATTTTTTTTAATTTTTTAAAATATTTTATTTATTCATGAGAGACATAGAAAGAGAGGCAGAGACACAGGCAGAGGGAGAAGCAGGCTCCATGCAAGAAGCCCTATGTGGGACTCGATCCCAGGACTCCAGGATCACACCCTGGGCCAAAGGCAGATGCTTAACTGCTGAGCCACCCAGGCATCCAAAGAATTTTTTTTTTTTTTAAACAGACTCACCGGTGTTGGAAGAGTTCGATATCTGACGTAAAAAACAGCAGCAATCAACATTACATCTCTTGAAATTATCATATAAGTAAGTGGAACTGAAAATCAAATGTAAAATAATTTTGATTGGGATTTAGAAAATTACTGGTATTACATATACAATAAAGCCACATTCAGCCTTATCATGAACTGGTGTTTCACATAAGTAAAAATGTTTTAACAAAATACTTAGTGATGATTTAGGGTCCTTAGAGTGAACCACTGATTTTTGTATTCATCTTTAACCTACTCTCTAAGTGAAAGACTATGGCTTTTTTTTTTTTAATTTAAATTCAATTTGCCAACCTATAGTATAACACCCAGTGCTCATCCCATCAAGTGCCCGTCACCCAGTTACCCCATGCCCCTAGATTATGGCTTTTAAAGTCTATGTCTGCCTTTCAGAAGGTCTATCCTCTTGCTTGCTTTCCTTCTTACCCATGTTTTTAAGCTGTAGTTATTAGTATTAGTGTCAGCTCAATTCAGCCACTATTTTCTCCTTTGTTACTCATCAGCTTTGTGCATTTGGAAAAATGATCACCATGCACACATGGAATGAATGAAACGGTAGAGATCAGAAAATATAATGGAAGACTCTAATCATGCTGACTCAGGAGCTCTAATGGCTTCTATCTTCCAGACTATTTTATAAGTAGTAAAATTTGCTATATGTAACACTTGTGAAGAAGCTGGACATTTTCATTATTGTCTGGCCAGTTCCTATCCAGGAAATTGCTATTTTTTTCTCCTACCCCATTCAATGAATTTTAATTTAAAAAGAATTCAATCAGTTGATAGTTTTCTCATTATTCTTAAGATTCTATAGCTTGGGGGTGCCTGAGTGGCTCAGCTGGTTAAGCATCCAACTCTTGATTTCGGCTCAGGTCATGATCTCAGAGTCATAAGATCCAGGCCCTGAAGATTCTCTCTCTCCCTTTTCCCTCAGCTCCTCCTTACCTCCCCTAAAAAATTCTATAGCATGGCCCCAAAGCCAGAGCAAGCAAAATATTTTATTTATTTTTTTAAAGATTTTATTTATTTACGAGAGAGAGAGAGAGGCGCAGAGACACAGGCAGAGGGAGAAGCAGGCTCCATGCAGGGAGCCTGACGCGGGACTCGATCCTGGGTCTCCAGGATCACAACCCTGGGTTGAAGGTGGCACTAAACTGCTAGGCCACCTGGGCTGCCCAAATATTTTAGATTGATACCCAAAGAACCCCTGCTCCCTTGCTGAATAATAATGGGACGGCAGAGGTTCTGTTTCATTTCACATTCTCTACACTGTAGGAAGTCTTAACTATGAACATACTTTTACTAGAAAAAATATTTCTTAAAAAAGAAAAGTCTTGACACTCAAATTGCTTCAAATTAAAAGAGGGTCATGTGTATCTCTTCCATAATACTTCCAAACAGCTCTTTTATGAATTACTTTTGAGATCACATTTATGATCCTCTCCAGTTCTGACATTCTATTCATTCTGCAACTCGAGTAGACTCTAATTACAGATTATAATTTAAATCTCTACTGGTTATGGCTATGATGTAAGTATAGATCGTTGGCCAATCCTTAATGACATGACTATCTGAAAGAGAAAATACTTATCTACCACTCAAGTCATGGCATTTGGAGCACACAAAAGACACAGCTGTCTGAGCCAAGTAACAAAACAAGTCAGCTATGATTTTTAGAAGCATTTTTGTGTCTGTAAAACAGACTTTTCTACAGCAATCATTAGCTAGCAAATTCTAACCATCAGATTTTAAGATGCAGCAAACTCATGCAAATTACATAGAGTAAGCCTGCTAAACATAACTCTAGAAGACAAAAAACACCTGTTAGTGTATTTAGTCACAGGGGAAAAGAGGCTAGGATTTAATCCTAAATAAGAAGTTTCTGCAAAAGAGATGAGGCAATTCAATACACTACAAAGATTTGGGTTCTTGTTCTAACTAGCAACAACCCAAATTGCCATTTTTAATCTGGCACTGTTTTAAGCATTTCATACATATGATTTAATCTATATATCAACTCCACAAAACAGGGACCATCATTACCCCCATTTTACAGATAAGGAAAACCAGCCTTAGGCACATTATGTAATCTGGCCAAGGTCACCAGTTAGTGAGTAGTACAGCCAATACTAGTACTAGCAAGCAGTACAGCAGTAGAGTAAGTAGTACATATAGCCAGAAACCTAGGAATAGAACCTAGGTCTAAGGAATTCATAGCCTATGCTCTGGTCAGTGTATGAGGCTTCAATCCAGCAGTGTGAATTACGATTAGCATCTCTGGACTCAGCTTACCATCTGTAACAGTCTGGTGGAGGAAAGGACTGTTAACAGAAATGAAGTGTTCTCCAAACTGCCCACCACACAATCACTCTGGAAGAGCATCATAGAAGCACAGATGAAAGAAGCTACCTGGAGGATTCCCAAGCAGAGCCAGGCTAGGACCCTGCCTCACCAGGTGCTCTTTAAGGCCTCTGCCAACTGACAGTATTATATGCAGGTTCTTACTTTGGTCCTTTGGACAATTTTATCCAGTTCCCTGGCTTTTGCATCTTCTAACTGTTCCTCCTTTCTCTCCAGCCTTCCCTTCCCTTTATTTCCAGGGCTAAAACAGTTTTTATTTTTGCCTATCAGAGTATGTCAGTGTGTTAGTGAGGGTAGAAGGGTGTAAAATGTGTCAAGGATTGCTCCAAGGTTTTCCTCCCTACTTGCTAATCCTATCTGAAATAGGTAATGTCTGCAACAAAGGAGTACATTACAGGCAAATTTTATTAGCATTCAAGGGAAATTAATAAGACAAACTTACTTTTACATATTACAAGTGGTCATTATCAATATCATACATTACATTTAAAATAACAATAATTATTCCAGAAATCAATTCAAATCAGCAATAAGAATTTGCTATACAGTAAACCAGAAATAATACAAGATATAGAAAGGAACTGTAATTTAGTAAATATAGCAGAACAAATGCACATAAGTAAAAATTAACTTAGCTCACATCCAGACTGTTATAACAAATGAAATAAGTTATTTTCATCTTTATCACTCCTCCCATAGAGCAAAAAGAAAAGCAGACTTGTTTATTATCCTAGCTGAGGAAGAAAGCACATTTCTTACTCTTGAAGACAACAAAGCTATACAAATCAAGGTGGATGGAACTTTTACAAAAATGCAGGCAGTATAAAAATAAGATGCAAGACAGCATATATACCATCTCTTCCCCCTAAAACCCTTCTAAAATGACAGTGAAGGAATGAAAAGAAAAAGTCACAAAGAGAATGGGAAGAGAACTCAAATTTCCCAGTTCTAAGTTTATTAGTAAGAGCTACTTTAATTCAAACTGATTAACAATATCATTAAAAGCCCAACAAATCCCATGCAAAATAAATAAAAAAGAAACTCATACCAAGATATATCACTATGCAACTGTGGAAAACCCAAAGACCAAGAGAAAATCTTAAAAGCAGCCAGAGTAAAAAAAAAACTTACCTTCAAAAAAGAAATGGATTAGCAGTTGGCTGCTTATATACCAACAACAGAAATGAAAATTGAACAGTATATTAAATATGCTGAAATGACTACTAACCCAGACTTCTACACTCAATAAAAATATCCTTTAAGAACAAAGGGAAAATCAAAGAAATAGAAATACTGCCCAGTATCACCTATATGTGGAATATAAAAAATAAAATAAAATCTGAAATAGGAATGGCAAGTAAAAAAGTGGTTGCCAGAGTGGCAAGTAAAAAAGTGGTTGCCAGATAAATAGGGAGAGGTTGATAAAAGGGTGCAAACTTTCACTTTTAAGATGAATAAAGTCCGAGGATCTAATGTATAATATGGTGACTAGAGTATTGTATTAACTGAAATCTGCTAGGAGACTGGAACTTAAATATTCTCACACATACAAAAGAGTAAAATGTTCTCATATACACAAAAGAATAAAGGTAAAATAAAAATATTTTCAGAGACACAAAAGACAGGAATGTACCTACCACCAGCTGACCAATATGAAAGAGATTTCTAGAGATAGACTTTAGACAAAAGGTAAATGATCCTAGATGGAAGGTCTGAGATACACCAAACAATGTAAGCCAGAAAAAAGTAAATATGAAGATACATCTAAATGAACACTGGAAAAACAGTATCATGTGAGTTTAAGAAGTATATAAAAGTAAAGTACGGCAACAGTAACCTAAGTTGAGAAAGGAATAAATGGAGGTAAAGCAGGGGCCCATAGTGCAGATTCATTAACACTGAACATTGATAAGGATGAATGATATAATTTTGAGAATAACTAAGTGGAAACAGTATATAACACTGCCAACTGGCACACAGGGAAAACAAGTATAATGATAAAATCTATATAGATGTAGAAATACACATATGAGCCAAATGAAACACAGAAAATGGAAGACTGCTACACAAACATTAGTAATCACAGTAAACGTTAATGGATTAAATGTTCTAGTTGAAAGAAAATATTTTTAGACTGGATAAAGAAAACCCATCTATCTTTATGCTATTTACAAGAAATATCTAAAATATAAAAAATACGGAGAAGTTTATCTATCAGGCAAACACTGACCACAAGTAAGCTAGTGCAGTTCTAGCAATATTCAACAAAAGACTTTAAGGCAATAATCATTACTGAAGATATGGAGGGCCACACTTCATAATAAAGCATTCAATTTACCAAGAAGGCAAAGAAATCTAATTCGTATGCACTTAACAGCATGACTTCAAAAGACACAAAGCAAAAATGAGACACAAAGAAAAATAATGGAAAACTACACAGGTAGGAACCAGTGAGAAACTAACCTACTCTCTCTCTCAGTAACTGAACAAGTAGACTAAACAGAAGTCAGTAAAGATTTAAATGTCAGGATTTAAAATTTGATCAAATGGACAAATATATAAATAACATCATGCCCAACTACCACATACATCGTCATTTGAAGCACACGTAAAATATTTATAAAATGATTGTATACTGGGCCAAAGGGCTAAAAGCAGAGCATGTTCTTTGGATATAAGGTAATTATGCTTGAAATTAATAATAAAAAGATACCTAGAAAAGTCCACAAATTAACTTTTATTAACCCCCCTAAGTCAAAGAAAGAATTACAATGAAAATAGATTCTTTTGAATTCAATAATGGCAACGGCATATTTTACCAACATATGAGATGCAGTGAAAGGAATACTTAAGACAAAATGTACAGCCCTAAATGCCAGCTTTAGAAAAGCTTAAAGGAATGAGTTAAATATTCATCTACAGCTGTGCCGTTCAATAAAACAGCCACTACCCACATGGGAAGATAAAGCACCTGAAATGTGGCTGGTCTGAAGGAGAGGTGCTGTAAGTGAAAACTAGACACTGGCTTTTGAGTTCATAGTATGAAGAAAAATTCACTAATTTTTTATGGTTTACACAATGAAATGATATTTTTGATCTAGAAGGTTAAGTGTTATTAAAAGTATGTTTACCTGTTCCTTTTGTTTTTAATAGGCTACTAGAAAATTTTAAGTTATATATTTGGCTCCCATTATATTTCTACTAAACAAATGCAATCTAAAGAAGTTGGAAAAAGAACAGCAAGGGAAACCTGAAGAAAAGAGCAATATTTAACAAAGTAGTAAGCATATCAGAAAAAGTTGGTTCTTTGAAAAGATTCATAACTGACACACTTCCATTAAGACAATTCAAGGGAAAAAAAACAAAGAAGGGACAAACTAATAATCAGGATGAAGAGGGGAACACTATTACATATCCTGCAGATATCAGAAAGGTAATGTGGATACCATAAAGAGTTGATAGTAAATCTTTATAAACGTAGTTGTAATGGACAAGTTCTTAGAAAAACACTGTAACTTACCAAATAGACAAAAGATGAACCAGAAAATCTGAATCATCCTATAACAAAAAAAAAGGCATCACCTATTTGAAAACTCTTTCCTAAACTCCAGTCCTCGGTGCTTCAATAAGTTCTACCAAACATTTAAAGAAGGAATACTACATTTCACACAAACATTTCCCAAGAATGGGGGGAAAAAACAGGCTTCCTAACTCTTATGAGGTTAATATATATTTGATAATAAAACCTAAAGTATACCTGTTGGATATTCAGAGAAAAAAAATCCAGACCCATCTTGTAAATATTGAAACAAAATCTTCAACAAAATAGTAGAAACCAAATTTAGCAATATTTTCATAATCTGTCATGACCAAATTGGATTTATACCAGGAATTTCACACTGTTTTAACATTAGAAAAATCAATAACGTAATTTACCACACATTAACAGCTCAAAATGAATAAACAGGACTCTCATAATACATGAAGAAAAAGAATTTGATAAAATTTAATATCTAATACTAATTATAACGCCTAGCAAACTCCAAATAGAAGTGAACTTCCGTATCCTAAAAAAAGGATATCTATACAACCCTACAGGAAACATTTAACAGTGAAATGTTGATAACTTTCCTTTTGAAACTGGAAACAAAACACAGACACCATTCCTATTCAACACTATAATGTGCAGTATAGAAAAGGAAAACAATTGAAAAAGAAGAAATATACTATTAATTACAGATATTATATAATTGAGGATGTAGAAAATCCAAGAGAATTTATATTTATATTAGAGTAAGAGTTTAACAAGTTTTGCTAGACACAAAAATCAACATCAGAAATAGAAAGGATTTTTATCCTATCAACAGGTAGTTATTACAAAATGAAATAGTAAAGCATCAAAATTAACAAGCAACACAGAATAAAACTAATAAATTGGTTTTCACCTCTCCGAAGAAAACAAACATTCTGACAATTTATTTATTTATTTTTTAAATAGTTTTTTGGTTTTTTTTTTTTAAAGATTTTATTTATTTATTCATAGAGAGGCAGAGACACAGACAGAGGGAGAAGCAGGCTCCATGCAGGGAGCCCGACGTGGGACTCGATCCCGAGTCTCCAGGATCACACCCTGGGCTGCAGGCGGTGCCAAACCGCTGCGCCACCGGGGCTGCCGTACATTCTGACATTTTATTTTATTTTATTTTTTTTACATTCTGACATTTTAAAAAGACTAAATAGAGTAGATATATCATGTCTGTGAACTGGAAGATCAATACTGTAAAGATATCAATTCTTTCAAGTAGAACTATAAACTCAATACAATCCCAATTAAAATTCCAACAGCCTTTTTTGGGGAATTTGAAAAGCTGATTCTAAAATTGACACACATGGGCACCTGGCAGTCTCAGTTGGTAGAGCATGGAGCTCTTGATCTCAGGGTCCTGAGTTTGAGCCCCATGTTAGGTGCAGAGATTGCTGAAATAAACTTAAAATATGTTATTTAAAAAAAATAAAGTTTATACACAAAATGGAAACAGCTAAGAATATCAAAGATGGAAGAATTTATTTTACTAGATATCAAGACTTTTAGCAAAGCAGTAATAATTACAATGGTACTAGCGCAAAAGTAGACAACTCAATGGGGAACAACTAAGACAACCCAGAAATGAACCCATGTATATATGGACATTGCAGTGAGTCTATAAAGTACAGATTTTTCAATAAAAAATGCTGGGATAGGTGTGCTTGGGTGGCTCAGTCAGTTAAAGCATCCAATTCTTGGTTTCCACTCAGGTGGTGATCTCAGGGTTGTGGGACTGAGCCCTGAGTCAGGCTCCACACTCAGCACAGAAGCTCCTTGTTCCTCTCCCTCTGCCCTTCCCGCTGCTTGCTTTTTCTCTCTTGAATAAATAAATAAAATCTTTTTTAAAAAAGAAAAGTGCTGGGATAATCTGGTACCCACAGAAATAGCTAGAAAATTTTTAGGAAAGATAATTTTTTTTCTAAAATATCAACTAGAAAAATGTAAACAACAAAAAAAATTCTGAAAACTTTCCAATACAAAACATGATCACATATAAAGGAAAAGGTACCAGAATGGCATGAGACATCTCAACAGCAAAATGGAATTTGGAAGTCTATAGGACAGGGTCTTCAAAAATTCTGAGTAAAAATGATCTGCAATTGAAAATTACATCCAATTCAAATCTCAATCAAGTATGGAGGTAGAATAAACACATTTTAAGTGTCTTTAGAATAAAGACATTGTGGACTCTAAAACTCTGGCTGCCACGCTGCATCCTTGCACAGGAAACTAGATCGCACTCCACCAAAAGGAAGCCATGGGAGCTTAGAAAAATAGACCCAACACAGAAGAGAGATGACAGAAATTTCCAGAATAATAGCAAAAGAAAATTCTCAGCTTGCAAAGCAACCTACACCAACTATTTAGGTAAATCTCACAGCAATAGTATCTATTATACTAAAACCTGGATACAGTTTCTTTGTTCAAAAGGGAAATGTCTGACCAACCTTTGCATAATAATGTAACAAAATACAAAATAACTCAAAAAACTGGAGGCAGGAAAGTATATACACACACATACAGGATCATTTGGATTTTGAATAATGTCAACAGAATGCTCTTTAGGTTCCTTTCTCCCCCCACAAATTATATTAGAATGAGAGTACCCCTGCCCCTTCAACACCCCCAACCATATACACACCAAAATTCTGACTTTCAAAGGAAAGAAACATTAATCCAATTTTTAAATTTTGTATAGGAATTTAAAAGCCTAAAAGTAAAAGAGAAAAAGAACCTGTAGACTGAGGAGACTAGACTGAAACCCCATTACACTTCTTCCTATCAAATGACAATAATAACATGCTACTGAAAGACCATGTGGCAGCATTTGCTTTATTCTCGGATTCTATTTCTAATACTTGGAAATTAACAGGTTAATCTAAACAAAGGGAGAAAAACTGAGAAATACAGCTTAAGTATAAAATGAACTACCAGAAAAGTACATGCAAAATACAAAGCAGAGATCATAAAATTTTGTTGAGTATTTAGATAATGTACAAACTGTATCTATGATTTGAAATTGCATAATAATTTCTAAGTAAAACTAGTGATGTAGAATTTTATAAACATTTTCAGGATTTCAGAACTCTCATTTTTTATGATGAAACTATACTTAATAAGTAATAGATTTAAGAAAACTTTAAATTGCTTTCAAAAAGCCAGGCACTAAGAATATAAACTTATGGTTTCAAAAAGTTCTAAACTAATATGAATTGGTAATGTGAAATAATATTTGCTTAAATTTAAACAATCTAAGAAAACAACAGATTCTACTAATAAAACAAGGACACAAATTCTGAAGTAAAATAACAGCTTGACAAGCAAAACAGTTCAATAGTTTAAAATTAGGGAAACAGTTTAAAGTTGAAAAATATACTTTTGGAACAAAAATTAAACATCTCTCAATCAAGAGAAATCCTAAACTGACTAATGTCATTCTTCACTATGCTATTTAAAAGTGCGCATGATGGCGTTCTTACCTGGAATAAGATCTGCATAGGTCAAGCTAACATATAAGATACTGATAAGTATTTTATCAGCAAGTGGATCAAGAGCACTTCCCAAAGCTGATTTTTGATTGGCCCAGTTTCGAGCAATAAATCCATCCAACTGAAAATAGAAGTTTTTTTTAATAAATGTCATAATAGGTACAAAGTAGATATCTTGAAGGTTAATAGATACCAGGATAACAACTCTATGTTTTAAAATGTTAATAAAACCTCTTCTATTTCTTACCCCCAAATCTTCTCATTCTTTTACTGGTATATGTTTAGTTTTCAAATTGCCAAAAGGTCTATAAATAATTTCACTTTTCTACAGTACTTTTCTTTCTCAAGGCCTCCTAGTATTTCTTTTCTTTTAATAAGGCCTCTTTGTGGGTTGAACCCAAACACAAATTTAGAGATTTACAGAACCCAAAAAAACCCCACAGAAAGCATGGCTGACATGGATTAGGAGCATGGATTAGGAGCCCCTCCTTGGGCTATTTCACTACAGCCAAAATGGCTGCTTTTGCTCGCGAGGCCTACCTTTTAACTGTAAGACTTTGGTTTTCACTCCTACCTACTTTTCTAAGATATGATCCAATACTCTAAGTTTTCACTATTACTATTTTTCTTTTTTGTTTAGTCCAACTGTTAATTCCATGTCTGACTGTACGTGAATAAAGAACTCAATCCTCAGGGGCAGCTAAGTGGCTCAATCAGTTAAGTATCTAGCTCTTGGTTTTGGCTCAGGTAATCATCTCGTGGGTCATGACAGTAAGCCACATTCAGAGGCTCCACATTCAGTTCCAGGCTCAGTGAGGAACCTGCTTGAGATTCTCTCCCTCTGCCCCTCCCCTCACAGGCATGCGCACATTTTCTCGCTCCTTTAAAATAAATAAATAAATCTCTTAAAAAAAAAAAAAAAACAGTCTTCTGTACCTGGCCTACTTAAAAATTTTGATATGCAAATTGCTTACTCACTATTCCTGGAAATAAATTATATCTCAAAGCAGAGGTCACACATGGTTACCAATGGGCCAATTGGGACCTGGCAGCAGCTTTTGGTTTAACCCACCCAGAGCTTTTAAAAATGTAAATTAGTTGCCAATATTTAAATAGTCACAGTCTTACCACAAAAATCCAGATCTCTAGCTTCACTTGAGAAATGGAAAGAGCCAATCACCTGGGGCCACAAGATGAATTGAAACCAAGTATCTATCACCTATTCCCATTAAATAAGGGGGGTTATTTTCTGGCTTTCCAAGTCTCTACCTGACTTTTACTCATTTTACTTAACTTCAAGCTTTAACAAATGTTTGAATTTTCTAGTCCTATTTCCAAGGAGAAAGATCCAAGGAGAAAGTAATTTAGACATAATTAAACATGTGCATTTTAAAGGATAAATAAGTCCTCTATACCCTAAGTATTGTAGTGAGTTAGAGATAGCAAGCAGTACTACAGAACCATATCGTAAGTATTGTAGTGAGTTAGAGATAGCAGTACTACAGAACTATGGTTAAGAACTTGCTCTTTGGCAGCAGAACATAACTGGTTCAAGTCCTGGCTCAGCCATTTACTATATGACCTTGGGGAAATTATTTGGCCTAAGCATCCCTTTCCTCATCTGTATAGCCCACCTCAAAGGGTTGATTGTCTTCAGGACATAATGGGATTAATACTTCTTTAGTACTCAGTAACTCCTCAAGAGCACTTAACTAGCTATTACTATAGCAACAGAAAGAACCTACTTTCTTATAAATATACATGTAACAATGTCTAACAGAAAGTACCTAGAACTTGGTTGGCATCAGGGCATTAGTAGATCCAGGTTTCAGTTCAGTTTTTGATCTCAAAGAACGTCAACACCTTCCACTTTTTTACTAGCACTCCCATCTGGATCTCCCTGTTCCTCTATCTACATTAGATTCCAAGGTCATCAACATCACTGCTACTTTGCAAATATCTGTAACTCCCTTACTTCACTCTTCATCCACCCTGCTTACACACAGCTATCCATGTACTTAACTCCAGGCCTGCACCTGATCAACTGACCAGTGCTCAAGAATACTTAAGTGGGTATCTCACTTCCAATTCAAGACCATAAATCTCCCATGGGCACTCAGCACTGCCTGGCAATCCCACATCTGCTTGTTTACCTTCTCTTTTCACACTGTCTGTTCTCACTTCAAGCCTACTCCTCCTTCATTCCCAAAGCCTCTCACTCTTATGATCCTATCTATACTTTCCTTGAAAAACAGAAACAAGATTGTCAGCACTCTGTTCCCACCCACAAGTCTACCGCCTACCTGCTGCATCCATACACATTCTGCCTTTTCCTGATTCATGATCGTAGGCCCTCTCACCTTCTGTGATTTGCCTCTCTTCTCCCCCATCTCTCCCACATCATCAAGCTCCTCCTTTCTACTTGATCATTTAGTTAACCAGTTAATTAACAACAAAAATTTCCCCAGGATATATAGCTTTAAAAACTAGCCTTCCTTGACTCTACTTCCCTATATCCCTACAAAGCAAAGCTTTTTTCAAAGCAGTATCTTTGAAATCTGTAATTGTCATTATACCTCACGTTTGTTGCCAACCACTCTGATTGTCTCTACTCCTCAAGAGGGTTCTCATCAAGATCACCAATGAATTCTACATTTTTAGCATACCTGACCTCAACACAATTGAAGCAATGACTTCACTTAACTTCTGGGACACCTGATGGCCTAATTTTCTTCCTTTCTCACCAGCTGTTCTCAGTGTCCTTTACTGGCTCCTTTACTTTTGCTCCACTTAACAGCTCATTTCTCTGACTCTGTCTCTTCTGTAACCCAGCCTGACTTCACCGACTTGACCATCCACAGCTGATAACTCTCACATTTATCTCTAACCCTGACTTCTTCCAACTCCAAACTACTACTACCCAACTAATACCTCTCTCTGTCGACAGGCACAACAACACTTGGTACTTTTTAACTCTGTCCTACAGAGTGTTGTTCATCACAAAACTGTTACCTTCATGCACCAGTTGTTAAAAAATAAAACAAAAAAGTAAAAGCCTATCAGACATAATTCCCTCACTACACATTAACAATCCATTGACAAATCAACTCTATCTTCAAAACATATCCCTAATTCATTCACTTCTCCCCAAAATCCCACCCCAGTCCAAGCTACTATCATTGCCACTCCCCTATGTAACTGTAAGCTCCTTAACTGGCCTCTCTGCTTCCACTCTTGCCTTCCTACAACTTCTTTCCCATTTACAACATAAATCAGGCCTGGTCATTCCCCTGCTTAAACCCTCCATGACTCCTGCCCAGTGGGCAATCTAGAGGCATCAAAACCTCCATGAAGTAAATGTGAAATATAGTGCCAAATAACTTAGGTTTTCACATACACTGCCACACAGATTTTGAAAAATGTAAATGAGGCCTGAGTTTGGTGAATATTGCAGTCTCCTGTGGCAGCATAAAAAAGGTACAAACAAAAGAAGAGCAAATCCAGTAACAAAAAGATCTTGTTACATTAAAAAAAAAATCCATTATCAATACAAGGGCCTTTGACAGACCTCGGAGTGTGTCTGAGTGGAGGCCTTCAGGCTTCATGAAGAGATAAAAGGAGGAACCAAAAAAAAGAAAGAAAGACTGTGAAAATGGGGAGAAATAGTAACAAACAGAAGCTAAACTCTGGAAAAAGAAGTGGGAACTATTTTGAGAGACTATTTTTAAAGCATATTTGGAAATGCTATATAATAATGCAAATGTCCTTCTCTATTTACCCTGCAAATTCTTCACTATTGCTATATTGCTCACCAATGCTAATGGGAGAGTGGAATTTTGTTTCTGTGAACCTCAAAGGGAATAGCTGACATTACAGATACTGTACAACTGTAATTTACAGAAACTTAATCTTCATTCTCACTAAGTATCACAAGCAATACTTTTAAAACATAAATCAGTTTGAAGAGGCACCAAATCATTATTGCCTGTCTGGGTGCTCACATGGATCTCAGACCAGTCTTGTATGAGGATATAATGTATTTATTTCTACATGTTAACTTTGTCCTGATTTTAAATTTTTCTTCCTTATTTTCACCGGTTTCCTTAACTGGGTTTTTGTAGGACATGTAATTTTAAAAACCATTTCAAATCCCTTATGCAACAAGGTGGGTGATAAATACAAGTAATGTCATACATACTGATGGCTGGTTAGCCCCAAAAGCCTATTTCACACGTATTTTGTCCTCTGTTATAAAATTATTTTCCAAGTTCTAATTTGATATAACCTGAATAAATACTTTCCTTTCTCAAAACTGACAGAGTGGTATAAAGGGGTTCTTTTTTCATTTCCCATCTACTGGGAGAGTAGAAGAAAGGATGCCTAAGGCCTGACCCAGGGCAGGATCTTCTGCTAGGCACTGAGAGAGGTGCAGAGCCGGGATCAGAAACCAAATCCTGTGTGTGCCTATAGCCTCCTACCAGCATAAACCTGAGTAGAGCTCTGACTTCTACAAGCTCTGTGGTCACAGGTGACCCACTGTTTCCCCCTCCACCAGTAAAACTAAGTGTTGTTACAGATCAGAGTATTTCTATCACAATAAGTAGAAAAATAGTCTCACAACGTTTCTCCTTTATTTCTATTCCTAAAGCAAACACTTGGCTCCCTGGGAATTTCTAAAGGCAAATTTTCTTTTACAAAAAAGTTAAAAACCAAAAATAAAAAGCACCCCCTCCTATGCCTCCCAACAACTTTCACCTCCTTCCTTAGATGACTTAAAAAATTGAAGTCCCACACAGATGCTAAAGACAAGTCTTTATACAAAGTACTAGGTTAAATTTATCTTGAGGATTTCCTTCTAGGAAAAAACAGACTAAGTCTCTGTTATTTCAGTGTACCAGAGACCCTGGGATTTGAAAAGCAAAACGGGGCGGGGCGGAGTACATTTACAACTTACCAAATCAGTTAGACCAGCTAAAGCAAAAACTCCTAGTGCAATATTAAAATCCTCTTCAATAATCAAATAGCCCAAAACTGGGGCCAAGCCAATTCTCGTCATTGACAACATATTTGGGATTGTCCATGGGTTTTCATACTGAAACACAAAGACAACAAAATTTATATTAAATGGTAACTTATTAGAAAAATACATCAACTTAGGAGTCAGAAGCTAAATAAACTTTAAATTTAGTACTCTGAGTTTTAAAATCCACTGTTTACAGACCATGCTCTAAAACTGTCCAGAATACAAAAGATGAAGATATGTCATATGTCCATAGACTAAAGTATCTGCTATATATAGACAGTATATACAGTATGTGTGTGTGTGTGATATACGGGGGGGGGAGGGGAGACACCATATATAGAGTACAGAGTATATGTACATGTTTCCCAAAGAGAGAAAAGAACAAAGATGTATTATTTACAATATAGGTCAAGGCATTAATATAGGACTTCATGATTAGAATTTAAACCTTATAACACTCTGCTTTTAAAAATGTAACTTGAATATCTTATACTTCAAGTAGACAGTCTAGATGGAAATGTCAGAAAAAAAACAAGGCAAATTATCAACCCCAGGCATTTTGGCTTAAAACATTTATTGCAAATAACCTCCCTCCCTCCTCGGCACATACCCATCAAAAGAAGGCTAAATGCTATATACAGTGTATGGACATTTGAAGAGGAAAAAAAACTTAATTCCATAATCTCATGGCTAAACGGATAACTGGTAGAAGAAAATGGAGCTAGAAATAGGGACTGAGAGCCTTAAATAAAGAGAAATGTAAATCTGTTCCCAATAGCCATGAAAATGAAATGTTAAGATTCCCACCTAAAATCTGAGGATTTTAGGATTCCTTGAAACTTCATTTGGAGCCAAGCTGTTTGAAGTTGGCACTAACAAAAGGGCTCTTTGGCAGCTACTATGAAAAACGTTACTTCCTTGCCAAACAAAATCTGTTTCATGAGGATATTTCAATTTTAAAAAACCTCGCCCTAGTGGAGCTAGGATACCCTGCCCAACAGGATACAGAAATAATTACAAGAAAATGTCTCCCTAAAGCCTGGACTTTTTCTCCACTGGTGAAGGCTGCCAACCCATGGGACTATCTCCTCACAAGACTAACCCTACTCTTAATCACTAATCAATTAACTTGAACCTCGACGCTGATTTTTTTTTTAAGTGACAGTTTCTATTTCTAAAGAAATCTTTTAAAATTCCACGAACCATCCCATAAGAAAAAGCAGTTCTCTATAGATACTAAATTTGTGTGTATAAACAAACTGGCAAGAAACATTCAGCTTAGTTTTGGAGGTTACTGTTGAGGTCAGATGCCAGAATACTGCCACTGAAAGCTACAGGAAAACTTCACATTCTGCAGGAAACAATCACTAAACAAGAAGCAGCACAAACTTCTACTCAGGGACTCTGTATTGAAAGTAGGCCACCTTATGTAATTAAATGGTAACATTCTTGGAACGCGTTCCAAATTGAAGTTCAAAGGCCAGAGTGTCTCAGAATCCAGAGAAAAAGAGAAGTTTGTTTACCATAACGTGGTACAGAGTAAGTCAAACACAGATCCAGTGTTACAGCAACTTGGAAGAAAAACACATAGTTCACGACTGAGAAACACGAATCACAAAGCAAAAGGTCAGGAGAGAGCCCCCCCAATTAATGTCAGATACATCCATAGGGCAAAATTAAAAGACACGGTGCAAACAGCCAGATCGTTTCATCGGGTGAACTAATCAACAGAACTATAATGTTGTCGGAACCGCGAAAGAAAGTTCTTTTTCGCTCCACATAAAATACTTTAAAGCACCTCATTAATTTCTAATCATTAAATTTGTAAAAGTTTCTACATTAAAATTACGAGAGCTAATCTCAGATTACCCAACCAGATAACCTGTGGCATACTCGACCAACTACTGCCGTTCTGGGAAGGTCTTCACCCACGATATGGCAACCTCAAAGCATCCAGCATTCAACCCCTGACATGCTTTAGCTATTAGTGGAGCTGAGACCCCTGCCAGGATGTGGCCACCTCAACCCATGCTGTACAACTGATGAAAGCAGTCCAAGGGCCCACTGAAGACCTAACAATTGAAGATGTAATAATTGCATGAGTCCTGCTAACATGACATCAAAACGTCTCCCACATTCATGCTCTGGGGTCTTCTGCTCGGGCAGTACTTCAACAGGTAAGTGGAGAAATATTTTGTTCTACTACCTCAAGAAGAGGGTCGTAATCTTTTTTCTATAATTAGAGATTAAAGAATTAGTAGTATGACTTAGTCAATTATCCTTCATCTTCCATAAGGTTAACAAAGGTCAAATGACAGTCAATACACAAGCCAAGAGGCTTGTATACTTTTCTAGAAATTCTTACTGACTTGTCCTAAACATTGAGGAATGGCTTCAGAGAATTAAAAATGCACTTACTAAGACAAGCGAAGGCTATTTTTACCAATGCAATAACCAGAGGCCGGTCCAGCCAAAGGTGCGGACGGGAAGGGGAGTAAGGGGAGGAGGGATTCTAACCCGCCCGCCGAGGCTGAAGGTGGCCTCCTCCGGCACCCCTGAAATTCATCCCGACTCCATGGCCTGCCCAGGACCTCTCTTCAGGGCGCAGCCGACAAGTTCTGGGACGGAAACGTCCGACGTGGGCCGCTCAGCGCGCGTTATTCGCGTCCGAGTCCGATCCCCGCCGCGGGGCCCCGCGCGCCCGACCCGGGGATGCCCCTCCGCCCCTCCCCGGGACCTACCAAGCTGGCGGCGCTCGCCTGGCCCCAACGGCCGCCCCGGGCCTCGGCGGCGGCGTCCCCTCGCGCCACGGGCCGGGGGGCCGCCTTCCCCGCGCCGGAGCAGTGGCCCCGTGGGCCGACGCCAGGCAGCCGCAGGCCGAGCGCGGCCGGGCGCAGCCACCAGCGCTCCCCCAGGCAGCCTCGGCAGCCCGGCACCGAGCGCAGCACGGCCCCGCGGGCGCGCCCCTTGCCCGGCCGCGCCCCCGGCGCCCAGGCCGCGCTGCGAAGGAGCCCCCACGAGCCGCGCGCCACGCGCGAAGCCAGCATGGCCCTGCCGCCGCGCCGCGAGGACACAGGCGGCGAGAGCTCAGCAGCCTGGGGCGCCGGCGAGCCCCCGCTCCGCAGAGTCTCCGCAGCGTCGGAGAAGCTCGGGGGCCTCCATGGCAGTTTTCAAACCCCAGCACGCTTCGCTTACACAGGCGGCCAGCCGCCGCCAAGGACCGACGGCTTCGCGACGCTTTTGCGACACCGCCGGCGCTGGACTTCCCGGCGCCCCCGGCGGTCGCGGGAGCGCGTGCCGTTGGGCACCTTGGGTGCGCCGGGAGCCGCGGGTCGGCGGCGGCGTGGGCGTCTCTCGGCTCGCGGGGTGAGCTGAGGTCGGTGCGGACTAGCAGGGCGGGGACTAGCAGGGCGGGGTGGCGGCGCGGCCCCATGTGGCTCGGGCCTCAGGCTGAAGCCCTCCTGCAGAACGGCCCCCTCCGAGGTGTGCGGGGCGCCCCGGGGCCCTCGTGGGACGTTAAATATTAGTGAGGTCGTTAATACAGGGCCCCTGCCCTTTTGCCTCTTCTGGACGTTTTTCATAAGCCAAAGACGGGTCTTAGAAAATGCCAGTAGTGGCGATTACCGATTGTGTGCCAGGAAAGTGCTTAGTACAGCTAGATTCTAGGGCACGCTCCCATTTAATCCTCCCAGCAACTCCAAAATAGGCTCCATTATTACCTTTACTTTAAAAAAAAGAATTTTGTGTATTCATAAGAGACAGAGGAGAGAGGCAGAGATCTAGGCAGAGGGAGAAGCAGGCTCGCTGGGGGAGCCGGATGCGGGGCTCCATCCCAGGACCCGGGGAGCGAGACCGGAGCCGAGAGCCACGCGGCGGCCCTATCACCTTTACTTTCACAGATAAGGAAATTGAGGCTTCGAGAGGTTAAGAAGCTTGCTTCTTAGAGGAATGTACAGAATAACTAAGAATCAGTTCGTTGTTGACTGATTAGTATCGTTATACATTAATACTGCAATTATATATTAATTACTGATGTATTATTATGCATTAACATCGCAGTGTTGCACAACGAACTGTTTTCTTAATTGAGTTCCGAGTCAAACTGGATGTGAATGGTTTTTGCGGCCTCGCCACCATCCTAACCCCACCCCACCCCACCCCACCCCACCCCCGTCTGTGATGACAGACCCACCTTAAACTCTTAGTTCAGGAGAGGAAAAGACCTCTCCTGAATTTGAGAATCATTGTAGATCTGAGTATTTATCAAAAGAAATCTTTAATTACTCATGCATATGCTGAAATACCGACATTGAAACTTAGACTTTTTGTACCAGCAATGTAAAAAGATTGATTTTTTTAATCGTCTCGAAACCAAATATCTACAGTTCTCATACACAGACATTGGATAATCCTGTCAAGCGAGAGAGAATAGGCAGTATTTCAGCCTCTCCTTTGCTTTCCACTCACTGAATTGCCTTTATTCACTCTTTCCACTTCTTCCCAATTTAAAACAGTTTCTCATTGTGTCTTGGGATTTTTCTTCTCTCTGCTCCACAAATGTTCTTGCTGCATCTGCCTGTAGTAGTTGGCATAACACGGTCTTTTCTCTTATTGTGGTAATCATTTGCCAATATATACGTTTCAAATCATCATGTTAAATATACACAATGATGTATGTCAATCATAGCTCAAAGCTGGAAAAAATTTTAATAAAATATAGCAAACTAGTATATATATATATATATATATATATATATATATATATATATATAATTTAAAGCCACCTTTACTATGGACTACTGATATTACAGCTAATTATAAAGCAGGACGGTAAAGTATCTGGTATTTTGGCCTAAAAGGTAATGACAGCTTAATACATACAACTGGAAAGTAGGGGTGCTTGGCTGACTCAGTGGAGTGTGTGACTCTTGATCTTGGGGTTGTGAGTTGGAGCCCCATATTGGGTGTAGAGATTGCTTAAAAATCTTTTAAAAATAAACAAAAAATAATGAGTAACAGTGCTTCTAGCAATGCATTTCCCTAACATTTTCAGACAGGAGAATATCCAAATATTAGTCCGCGATTTCATTTTCTAGAACGTGACAGGTGTCAATAAATGAACAGGATAATCTGGGATGAAGGATGGAGAAAATGCAGAAACCCAGGAAAATAATTCCAGATATAAGATATTAGGTACATAGAGTAAATAAAGAGTATAACTATATTTCCTAACTTTGTTTGGAGGAGGGCAGAGGAAACCTAAAAATTCTACAGACAGTATTTGTTTTATAAGTTCATTTTCTGTTTTATAAATTCTGTAATTGTTCATTTCTATCCAATAGGATGAATAGATGAGCAGCTTACATGTCTGAGGGGATTGGGAATCTCTGTCCCTGGAACTGTCCCAAATTTGGGAAAAATAATTAGAAAAATAAGTCTAACAAAAATCCAAATAAAAATAAAAATTCATTATGTAGGGGCACCTGGGTGGCTCAGTTGGTTAAGTGCCTGGCTTTGGCTCAAGTAATGATCTCAGGGTCCTGTGATCTGCTTCTCCCTCTGCCTCTCCCCCTGCCCGTTCTCTCTCTCTCTCTTTCTCATCAATAAACAAAATCTTTTTTAAAAATCCATATGTAGGGAACCCCAGGGTGGCTAAGTCATTTGAACGTCTCCCTTCAGCTCAGGTTATGGTCCTGAGGTCCTGGAATGGAGCCCTGAGTCAGGCTCGCTGCTCAACGGGGAGTCTGCTTCTCTCCCCACCGCCCTCATGCTTGCACACCTGCATGCACACTCTGAAATAAATAAAATCTTTTTCAAAAATCCATAAGTAAACTCTTAGGTCTCATGCTTGAAATTAATTTCGAATTTTTATATCTCTACCCTTTTTATTAGTATAATTTTTTAAAAAAGCAAAATATACTGGTCAGGTATCTTATCCCAAGTAATCTAGTCATTCATGTAAGTGCTAATATTAAGAGAACAAAAGAATATGAAAAGAAAAAGGATTGTAAATAATTAACCTTGGATAATTAGCCAGTTGACAGTGTACTTTAGTGCTTTGAAAACGTAAATACTATTAAGAGCCACTAATAGCTATTGTGCAATCACAGCTATACTGTGTTTGGTTCCTTATCCTTTAATTGATTCTTTGCTGAGGAAGTTGTTAGAAATAAAAATCCCATCCATAGAGAGTAGTAGTATCTTGCCACTTTTATGCTTTCCTTGGTAAGTCGCAAAGCACTGAAGGGTCTGGTTGTGCTAAATATCAACACATCCTAGGCTTTTGAAAATTCTGCAACCCATTCTTTCTCACTTGTCACTTCTATTTGAAGCATAAGCTTTTTGAAAAAAACTGTGCCAAATCTATTATTTTCTACTGATAAATTGACAAACTAGAAACGTGTTTGTCTCCTCATATATCAGACATACAATGAGGCATAGGTTTGTTATTTATAAGTTTTCAGTCTGGGACACACTAATCTTGAGTCACTTTCTGTTTCTTGAGACCAGAAGAAAATAGTGATAATGCAAAGTAGCTTTGCAAATGGATCTCATATAAGTAATAATGATTGGGAGTTAAAGCAAACCAGGAAATTGACATTATTTCTCTAGGAATCAAGTTAAACTTTGTAGGAGTGAGCCATAATCATTGACACAAAAAAGCCAGTGTCTAGTAACTAGCAACTTAAATAAGGTACAGGTTTAAATCCTTGTAACAGATAGACCAAGAGCCTTAAATAGGAAGGAATAAAATGATTGGGTTTAGATTCAGAACAGGAGAGGGAATTAGTTATAGGGCAAAGCTCCTCAGGACTTGCAGAGATTAGCTCCACCTATACTCTACAATTTAGCTTACTCTTTAACTTACTAAGAGTTTAAAGTATTAAGAGATCTAAATTAATTCTTTTTTTGTCAACTTCTAGTGCCAACTTTTCCTCATTCCTCCCAATAAGAGTACTGCTGGTACTAGAATATATGAACTATCAAGTCTTTACCTAAGAATTTTTATGCAGTCCATTCTTGTAGGAACCTCTAAAAGAAATAAAAATGCTCACGTAGGCAGTCATTATCTACAAACAAGGGAGTAAAATGGTTTTAATATATGGTAATAATGGTTTTAATATATTTAAACCTCTGCCCTTAATAAATATTTTTAAAGTAACAAAGGGATTTTTAATATTAGTGTATGACTTGTTTTATTTTCCATTCTATTCCCCTTTCCTGTCAAAAATTTAAGATTCTTTTCCTTTTTGTAGCTTAGAGACAAAGCTACCTGTTGTTGGCAGCTTTCTGGTGATCACAATGCTGTTTTAATGTTATTATCTATCCTTTCCATTTCAGGACAAGTGACTGAATTTTGGAAAATGAGAAATCACTCCCACTCCCCACTAGAAAAAAATTAAACCAATGCTGTGGACTCCTTCAGTGCTTTACTTCTGAGAGAAACCTTCAAATGTGAGTACAATTTTTTTCCCTCCACAGAATCCTAAGCACCTTAGTTAATTTTAAAAGTGTTCACATAGGGGCACCTGGCTGGTTCAGTTGGTGGTGCATGTGACTTTTGATCTTGGGGTCATGAGCTCAAGCCCTACATTGTGTGTAGAGATTATATAAGAAAAAAATAAAGGGGTTCATGTAATTACCGAAAATGGAATGCAAGTGTGAGAGTTTTATATTTTAAAGTGGCTTGGTCAGCTAAGCATCTGCCTTCAGCTCAGGTCATGATCTTAGGGTCCTAGGATAGAGCCCCACATCATGCTCCCTGCTCAGTGGGGAGTTTGCTTCTTCCTCTCCCTCTGCTCCTTCCCCCTGCTCCGGTACATGCGCTCTCTCTTTCTCTCTCTCATATAAATCAATAAAATCTTTAAAAAAATAGTTTTTTCTCTCTCTCATATAAATAAAATCTTAAAAAAATAGTGTTTCTGAATATGACGCATACTCTTCAGCTATTAATTTCCTGCACACACCTCATATTCCTTAAGAATTGAGCAGAGTTGTTCATATTTGTATAAACCATGTCTCCATACAGCTCAGCATTTTTTTTTTTTCAGTTAAATCAAGTTATTTAATAATGTTATTTCTGGTGCACATGCTGATACATAGGACAAGAGGGTGTAATGCTGGGCAGCTTGGTACTGATAGCATTAAACATAGTTGTGTTTCCTGACAACATTGGATTCAGACTAGGTCCCTTCTGACGTTATGAGCAAAAGTAAAGGGCTGGATCCCTTTGAAATATTTTTCACTGTTTTCTCATTAAAACTAAGATTTTACTCAGTAGAACTAGGTATTACCAAAGTAGGGTCAGCTTGTGTATAGATGTCAGCCAGAGTTTGGGATGGATTTTCTGGTACAAAAGCCACCCTCTCAGGACACCTGGGTGGCTCAGTGGTTGAGCACCTGCCTTCTTTCAGGGCGTGATCCTGAGTGATCCTGGAGTTCTGGGATTGAGTCCCACATCGGTCTCCCTGCAGGGAGCCTGCTTCTCCCTCTGCCTCTCTGTGTCTCTCATGAATAAATAAAATCTTAAAAAAAATAATAAATCCACCCTCTCTCTTCTGTTCTTGTCCATTCCAAGTCCATTTCCTGGGAGGGAAATTAGATTAAATATGTTCTTTCCCTTTTTCCCCACAAATACTTAGAAAACTGTTATATGCCAGCCAGGTATTAGATTCTAGGCAATCTGCACATGTCTCTATTCTAGAAAACTTAATTATTGCATGCTATCTGGACCCTAGCCCCTAAAAGATTTAAAAAAAAAAAAAAAAAAGCCTTCCATGGGAGGTTTTCCAGGCCTCCTATAGAAACTTGTGAAAGCTCTAAAAAAATATGCAACACAAATTTCATATAAAATTTTAAAGGATGATGATTGTAGCCCAAGAGCCCTTTCTCCTGCAGTCACATCTTCTAACACTGTCCCCCTCCTGCGTCCCTCTGCCACTTTTTTTTTTTTCCCTCTGCCACTTTTAATGTTCCTTCTGATTATCTCAGGCCAGCTCCCCAGTATGGGGTTTTTATGAATTCACTATAGGTATCTATACTCATAACTAGAAGTATTGTATATGATCTGGGTGGAGTGCTTTGGATAGGATATATGCATGAGGGTTTAGTTGCAGGAAATACAAATCACCTGTAGCCGCAGTAAAAACAAGGATTGCAAAATGGAATTGGGTGCTTGTGATATTGTCAGAAGGGCCAGAGGAGTGGGTGCTTCATGGTGGGTCTCCAGAACTGACTCTCAGAAAAATGTTGCCGATCTGGCTTGCCATAGAAGCTTCTACCCCCACAGCAGTGAGAAAGGTGGAGAATGGGGTGTGCTGCCGTCACACCACAGCTGCTTCTCAATGGCTGCTAGAATTCTGCTGCAGAGAAACTAAATGTCTCCTCAACTACACATGCCACCAGAAAACAGCAGGCAGGAGGAAGATTGTTCTCTTCACATCCACCTCCAAATCTCACAAAGGATGTCCAGTCCCTGCAATCCAGCTCAAACTCAGAACACCAGCTGCAAAAGGAGTTTGGGAAGTGTCGTTTCTTTGCTTCCCAGTCTCTGCATGGCAGACACACGAGGAGGGAGGAATGAAAGTTAGTATCAAATCACTGTATTTACAACCTTTATCTCTTTGGCTAGGCAATATGCATCTACAAAATTCTACCCATTCATAACCTTCTGTATAACAAGAGCAACTACAACAGGTTCATGCAAGAACCACATTTCTCTCCTTTATAAAAGGTGTTTGTGCAAGCCCATCACTGTGTGGTGCATATTCCTCTTCTGTTTCAGCTACATTCTCACCCTGATAACCTCTTCCTAAGGACTAAATTATCAAGTTAATTATCACCGATGTATTTAAAACACTAGAGGAAAATAAGAGGGTGGGAAGGCAAATTGAGTAATGTACAGTGCAGGCCTCTCCACAACTGCACATGAGGTTGTCGTTAACGTTTAAAACGGTCTTCCTCCATTCCCATTCCTTACTTCCTTTCCATCTCAGCTGCTCTGGATTCTTTACCTGGTAGAGTGACTCAAAGCCTCATTCCTGAGGAGTCTGAGCCTTTAGAGATCATGCCTATAGCCTTCCACCACTCCTTGCTGGTGGACGTGAATATAGTAAGAGCTGCCCCAGAAGATTCTTTAAGATTCAGAAATCTTAGAGATTTCTGCCTCTATTTGTAGGAGTGACTCAGTCCCCCCCCTCTCATTCTCAGGTCTGGCATTAATCCTCTTTTTTTCTTCTTCATAGGCATAAGAGCCCAGTATGTTTAGGTGGCAGTTTCAACTCCCAGTTCAGTGCAGGCATTGCTGTGTCCTCTGACAGATGTATTCCTCCTTTAGATAGAAAGACCTCTAGCTAGTAAAGCCCCATTTTATGGGGATTCAAAACAAAAACTTTATGAATGGTCATTAGAAGAACAGTGAAACTGTTCTAAAATTTGCATCTTGTTTCCTAGGCCCACGTATTCTGGCTGTGGGAGAAACAACCATAGAGTGGTCACTAGCTTGGAGAAGTTCACATAGAACAGTACCCCAGACTTACAAGGTGTTGCACCTAGCTGGCATGATAACAGAATCTTCATTATCTGTTGCAATGTTCCCTAGGGCCAGATGCTTTTGGTTAATAGGGTACATAGTAAAGACAGTAGCATATGAACTTCAGCCCATTGCCTTATTTCTTCAGTTGTAAAGTGACTTTATCAGGGGTAACACTACGTGGGATATCATGATGGTGAATAAGTTGAATAAATTCACATATGGCATTGCTCAGAGAAGCAAGGCAGGAAGGACAGACATCCAAAATAAGCTCCCTGCTCACCCCCAGTGAAAACAAATTGCTGCCTCCTAGAGGCCCAGTGTAATTGATCAACCACCAAGTGGCAAGTTAGTCCCCTTGAAGCATGGTACTGTGTTATTTCAGGATAGATTGCTCCACTGGCTGATTAGATACTCAGCAATGGTGATAGTATATGTCACCCTTGGTGAGGGGAGGTTCAGGCTTGGTGAGCGTAAGCCAGCCTTGGCCTCATGGTCACTATGTTCATGAATTCATTGAGCAAGGACTCGGGTGGCGAGAGAAAATGACTAGCTGACATTCATGGAGTAGGTGAATCCATTGAATTGTGAAGCTCCTTTACAATGCTCCTTTAGTGAGCATTCACATGGACTGAGATATTCTCATGCTCAGAGCATATTCTGAGAAGCTCATTCACATGCCTCTTCCCCAGACTGACTTTCACTCAGCAAATATTTACTGTGTGGCTCTTACATGCCATGTACTGCTATAGGAATGGGAGATTTAACAGTGAAGATGATAGTAAAAAAAAAAAATTCCCATCCCTACGGCTTACATTTTAGTGGGACTTAAGGAAACAGGCATGAAAAAGACTACATAGTATATTAGATTGTATTGTTTGCTACAGAGAAAGCAGGGAAGGATGATAGAGTTGGGGGGAGTGCAGTTTTGAACAGTGCCTAAGAAAGATGGCACTAAGAAGGTGACATTTGAGTAATGACCCAAAGGAGTTGGGAGGATGAGCCGTGTGGCTCTCTGGTGGAAAAGCATGTTGGATGGCAGAAACATGTGCAAAGGACCTCAGGTAGGAAATATGCCTGGCATGTTTTAGGACCAGCAGAGACCAGTGTGGCTAAAAGAGAGTGATTGAGGAACATGAGAGCAGTGAGAATTGAGGTTAGAGTGTGAACATGGGACAAGGTGTGAAAGACATTTTTCTATTTAGTAGCTGCTCCCCTTAGCTCCACCCACCCACCCACCTCCACCTCCACACAGCTCTAATCTACAGTGGTATTCTGAGTTTCCTGAGATTCATGTTAGCTCACAGGTCATACATGACATTTGTTTTTAGGCGAATCTTGCATACAACAGTTTGTGAACTCATCTGAGTCTTTTTGTTTCAATAGATGAGTTGAGTCCATTTGCATTTATTAATGTGACATATTTAGGTGTCGTGAATATGTTGGGCTATTTTAAAACTTCCTGATGTAATGTTTTCTTGTTCTGTTTTTGTTTCTTTTCTAAAGTTTGTACCTGGGATTTGTTTTAATCAGGTACGGTAAGTTCACAGACACGAGACAATTGCTTTTGAAAGCATTAATTATATTTACCAATGGAAGGGGGCATACTGTTCCACAAAGGACCACATGGGGAAGCACCCAGGTTGGTCAGGAGGCAAGAGGGAGGGGAACCCTAGGCCTTTATTGCTGTGGTTGTGGGAAGTATTTAGGTGGGGGATATCCCCTACTGGGCAGGAAGTGAAACAAAAATGTGGGGTTTGTGGTTAGAGAGTTAGTTGCAAAAGCTGGGATCACAGAGGAGATGTAAATAATTTTGGCTGCTAGTTTGGTCTTGTGATTAATGGAGGCCAAATAGGCAACCCAATATGGAAGAAAACTGGAAGAGATTCTCCTGATAATTTATTATCATCTTTTTCCCTATAAT